GTTGAGGCAAGAGACACCCATATATGGCCTCCCTGAGGTTCCTGTCACCTGTCCTCTTATTGATCATTGCACCATCGGGCCAGAACTTTATAGCCAACTGACGGTTTCAAGCTATACCCATTTTTAACTGTTATAATGCTTTTATCATGTTTTCAATTGAAATTGTATTATGATGTTACCCACCTCGAACCCGCTCACAGGATGGGCGGGATATAAATCCAAATAATAAATTAAAAGGTAAAGGTTTCCCTTGCTCGAAAGCTAGTCGAATCTGACTCTAGGGGGCGGTGCTCATCTCCGTTTCCAAGCCAAAGAGCCAGTGCTGCCCGAAGACGTTTCCATGGTCATGTGGCTGGCTTGACAAAACACCGAGGTGCACGGAACACTGTTACCTTCCCACCGAAGCGGTACCTATTGATCTACTTGCAATTTCTTGCTTTCAAACTGAAAGGTTGGCAGGAGCTGGGGCCAGAGACAGGAACTCAATCCATCACATGGCATGAGGGTCTTGAACTGCTGAACTACAAATCTTCCCGTCTACAGCTCAGTGTCTTAACCTCTGAGCCACTGTAGTGTTTTTTTCTGATCCTGCATTGAGCAGGGAGTTGGACTAGATGGCCTATATTGCCCCTTCCAACTCTGTGATTCTATGATTCTACATGCTGCAGTGGTGGTGATACAGCAGCTCCGCAGTGTTTAAGCTCTGAGTTATATACTTCATATATATCCCCACCTTTCTCCCCATGGGGACCCAAAGGAGATTACATCATTTTCCATTTTAGTGAGGAATCCTCTATGGAATGCAAAGGTGTAACAAAGAATAAATCTGGCAGTATAGAGCCAATTAGCGATGGACACGAATCTAAGAACCCAGTTTCGGTTTATAGTCAACTGACGCTGTTTCAAGCTATACCCATTTTTAACTGTTATAATGCTTTTATCGTTTCAATTGAAATTGTATTATATTACCCACCTCGAACCCGCTCACGGGATGGGCGGGATATAAATCCAAATAATAAATTAAAAGGTAAAGGTTTCCCTTGCTCGAAAGCTAGTCGAATCTGACTCTAGGGGGCGGTGCTCATCTCCGTTTCCAAGCCAAAGAGCCAGTGCTGCCCGAAGACGTTTCCATGGTCATGTGGCTGGCTTGACAAAACACCGAGGTGCACGGAACACTGTTACCTTCCCACCGAAGCGGTACCTATTGATCTACTTGCAATTTCTTGCTTTCAAACTGAAAGGTTGGCAGGAGCTGGGGCCAGAGACAGGAACTCAATCCATCACATGGCATGAGGGTCTTGAACTGCTGAACTACAAATCTTCCCGTCTACAGCTCAGTGTCTTAACCTCTGAGCCACTGTAGTGTTTTTTTCTGATCCTGCATTGAGCAGGGAGTTGGACTAGATGGCCTATATTGCCCCTTCCAACTCTGTGATTCTATGATTCTACATGCTGCAGTGGTGGTGATACAGCAGCTCCGCAGTGTTTAAGCTCTGAGTTATATACTTCATATATATCCCCACCTTTCTCCCCATGGGGACCCAAAGGAGATTACATCATTTTCCATTTTAGTGAGGAATCCTCTATGGAATGCAAAGGTGTAACAAAGAATAAATCTGGCAGTATAGAGCCAATTAGCGATGGACACGAATCTAAGAACCCAGTTTCGGGCAGCTCCTGAACCCAACTGAGCTGGTCTGGCAAGTTTGGTTCCCCATTTATCCCAGCCATGGCGAGCCAGAGCTGAAGGTGGGGATCGCTTGAGGAGGGTTAAATGGCTAGCAGCCATTTTACCCATCTGTTTAGCTTCCCCTCACTTTGAAGCGGGGTGTGTGTGAAACAGATAACTTGAAATGGCTGTGTGCCATTAAACCCAACAGTTGTCACGTGGACGTATACTGCTGTTAGGTTTAAATGGCTGGCAATCATTTCACCAGTCCATTTTGCTTCCCCCCCCCCCTCGAAGCGGGGGGAAGAGAATCTGACCAGTGAAATAGCACGCAGCCATTTAAGCCTAAAAGCTCAGCTGCAAGCCCAGCACTACTCAGCTGTTAGGCTTAAATGGTCCCAAACAGCTGAACCCAACCTGACAGGAAGTCCAGTAAATGTTCGGGAAGGTGCCTTTGAACATTGTTCAGGGTCTCTGAACTGGCCCAAGTTTGTGCTGAATTTTGGTTTGTGAGCCAGTTCGTGCCCATCCCTAAACCCAATGGTATGTGAGCAAACAAGAACACAGATACACTGCCTGCCTTTAAATGTTTTCCCAATAAGAACAGATAAGTTGAATTTAAACTGAGCTTGGGTTAACAAAGAAAAAAAATCACCTAAAACATGAAACTAAGCTGAACTGGAACAACTGAAAAATTTAAATAGTTTAACTGTTTGGATAGCAAGGACAGGCACAGAAAAAGAGACAAAGTTTTTAACAGCAAATGTGTTATTCTGAACTCTCTTGCATATTTTTTAGACAGACAGCTCAATCATAAGGCACAATCCAGCAGAAGTCAGGCAATATGGAAGTCTCTTAGAAGTCAATTGTGGTTAAATCCGGTTGACCCAAAAGGACAAGCTGCCCAATCTTATGCATATTTGTTTAGACAGCAGCCTTGCTGAATACAATTTTTTGCCAAGCAAACATACACAGCATTGCAGGATTAAGTTTCCTGGATTGGGTCCAAAGCATACATCAGTAATCAAGCAGGGGTTAAAAAAAAACTAAGACATGGGCAAGAGCACAAGGGCCTAGGTCTAAGAGCTACTACTGAACATGTGCTTGCTACTATTGCAACAAAGTTTATTGTTTATGAACAAGTTGTGTGTGTGTGTATACACACACTATATCTATCTATCTATAGATAGATATACGCACACATACTTCGAGTTCTGTTTGTGGGTACTCTGTTGATAAGCTTGTTAATACAATGTTTTGGGAGAAAAAGATGCAACCCTATCTCTTGTTGAAGAAATATTTACACCAGTCATGATTGCATAACATCTCTACTTTAAATTATTAACCCAATTAGTGCTTTATTCACATTTTAAAAACTTGTACAATTTATTACAAATATAAAACAGTGCAGTTTTCCATACATTATCCCAATTCTGAGACAAACACTTAAAAGACATGGAAAAAGCTTTAATTTTCTTATAAACATAACATTTGCACCATTCACACTCTTATTGTCTTCCTCTACCCTTGATTCAAAAAGATCAAACTTACAACATACTGTAGGTTTATTTTTATTCAAAAAGTTACTTGTCTCAAGACATAAATACAAATCAGAAAACAGTACAATTAGGACAATAGAATGTGGAGGACAACAGGTTAAGGTAAATATATAAAACATTTTTTTTAGTTGTTTGAAAACATAAAGCTGTAGGAACTGCTGTCACAAAGTAACACTCCTTCAAGAGTAAGAAAAAATCAACTTAAAGTTTAAAATCATATATACAGTCCTCTCAGCAGTTCTATTTAAATGCAGTGGTGTGGAAAAAAAAGTTGATAGGCAGTACTTTTAGACATGAGAGCATTGACGTAGAATGGAGCTAGGCAGATCTGGCTCTGTGTTCATTGAAACCCATGATTTTTCAAAATAATTATGTTGCCATGATACTTTACAGAACCCATGGTTTATGGCTACCACAGCCCAAATGATTAATATCTCTGAATTAACAGGAAGTCTCTTCATAATTGCTCATTTGGGGAAATTATTGTATTGCAAGCGTATTAAGGCGCATGGAATGATTTGAAATATACCTCAAGAACTGAGAGACAACTGACAAAAAATATACATATGTAATATAAGTTAACATTTCCTTTAAATGATGTCTAGCTGCCTAAGCTTCGCAAAGTGAGTTGATGTCAAAACGGCATGTTTTAAAAATGATTTAATTGTGAAGGGCATGAAATGAAATTTAAAGCTTAGCTTTCAAAGAATATTATGGGGGTATTTATGAATCTTCTATTATCCAATTAATTTACATACAGAGGAAATGTACTGTAACCTGTTAGAAGTATCATTAACCTGAAGACTGCTTGCAAAGACAGATAGATAAAACAATATAAAATACAAATTTAAAAATCATTTTAAAGCATGAATTCTCATGCTTATCTATTTTAAACATTGTTAAACTTTCAATATATTTCTGAAACCTCATAATTTTTAAGTTGGAATTTAAAAGTAAGAAAAAACTAAACAAACTGCGCAATTATAAAATCAGCACCAATTTATATATATATATATTTTATTTAAAATTTCCACCCCTATCCCACACTCTAATAAGCTGTATATTTTTTTGTTTAGAATTTTTCTGCAAACATACTACAATAAGCTTCTTTATTTGGAGACAAAATACAGTGGCACTACTGGAAGGAATTTCACAACATTACATTTTTCTTAAAGGACAAGCAAACTCTCAGGGTTGTTAATGGGTAAGCAGGATTGATCTCAGTGCTTTCCGGCAGTTCATGGTTCCTAGTTGTTTCATGAATATGCAATAATGAAGTGTGGGGATGTTTTTGTTTAAAAAATCTAAAATAATCAGCCTGTATTTTCTTCATTTCACTAACTGAACCAAACGTTTCTGTTGCCCAGAATTTTGAGCGTCTCGCTGAAAATGTTTTAAACTTTCTCTTCCGGTTCTACAAATGCTAGGGTTTGAAAACAAGCCCCCGGTCATCTCAGCACAAGTTTGCAACAATATAATCTAGGGAAAAAATCATAATCATTTGAATGCATCCAACCGCATATGAAGAGCAGAGCTTGAAACTGTACCAAGCACCTCCCCAGCAGAGAGGGAATTTCCAAAAAAAAAAAAAAAGGGAATCTCCACTATGGATTTGGAAATGAACTAGTATTACATAAATAAAATACTGGGTTTCCAACAGAAAGTGTAGCTTATCCTCAGGTTGTTTACTTGTCCTTTATGTTTCAGGCAAACAAAACTGCCCCTTCAATGCACTTGATCTTGTAAGCACATCATTCTCCTTAGAGAAAAATCTTGTTCAGATTATCACTGTATCTACCGCAATTTTTTTAATTTTAAAAATCTCCTCTTTCATATTAGAAAACGACTTCACGGCGGAGTTATTCGCTGCACTGGTATTAAAACATTGATACCCCAAGAACCTAGAAGGGAAGAAAAAGTATGTAAAATTTGAGAAGCCAAGCTACATGTTATGTCATCAATGCCTTATAATTAATACATATGTTGCACACATATGCTGAAAGAGAGCATCGGTATCTGAGAAATGTGGCAAAGCCCAACTTTTTTCTTTTCCCAAATATAAATTCAGCTAAAAGGAATTTTAAAATGTAGCATTAAGATGAAGTGGCTTCAGTGTCTGTAACAGTTCTCAGCTACCTGTTAAGAAAACTTTTAACAGGAATGATTTCAAAAGTTCATCAGAAGCCAAAACATCAAAACTTTTAGTACAAGCCTGTGGGTGATGAGGACAGGATGTAGTAATGAAACAATACCCTGTATTCCAGCCACTTGTGCACAGAATGCAATTTTCTCATATTCTGTGCCAGCAGCCCCTTCCAACTCACAGAAAGATGATTCCTAGGGTCCCTGGTGTGGAGGAATAAACAGGGGAGGCTAGTGGGCTGCAGTGGAAGGGTGAAATGGCCCCTCCTGACGGAAGGAGGAGAGATTTCACTCCCTTCCTCCACTCTGTAGTTCCCTCCCTCCAATTCTCATGTCTGAGTGGATCTCCAAATCCCAGGAAGGATCTTTCCAGGAATTAGAAAGCGCTATAGAATCATAGAGAAATGTACAGAAGATGTCAAGCACCTTCCAAGTATACATGGATGGATACAACTGGAATTAATACTTATTAACATGGCTGCATTAGATTTGTTCCAGAGAACAAAGACAATATGGGATCAAAATTCATTTTTTTACACAGTGCCAGATTTCGGTTTCACATAGACCTTCTGAAACAATGACTATTGTTTCTGTTGCCTATCCTGGAAAAAAATATAGATTTTGTTCATAAAATCAAGTCCTTCAATTTCAGTGGCTTTCTTTTGAAATGGGGTGTGTGTGTGTCTACACAGATCGGCTGTCCTCAACTACAGCCAAGGCTTTCTTGGCCCTGGTCCTGGCCTGGTGGAATTCTCTTCCTGGTAACATCTGCACCCTGTGGGACCTAACACAGTTCCAAAGGGTGTGTAAGACAGAGATGTTCCACCAGGCCTACGGTTGACGACAGCAACCGTCTTTACCATGTCCGTCCTACAATCTGAAATACAGTATTTCATATCTATGATATGAGAAATACAGTATATGCCATCTATTACCTGTTTGATGTCTATTTTTTTCTGCAATTACTATTTATCTTATATTTAAATTCTGCATGTTCTAATGACGTTGTACATCGCCCTAAACCCTTCAAGTTTAACAAAATTAAATAATAATAATAATAATAATAATAATAATAATAATAATAATAATAATAATTTTAACATGTATTTACAGCAACCACAGAACAGCAGTAGCATATTTAGTATCTAGTGCCCTCATGTGGTGCCACCTCTGAACTGCAGCTACTTTTCCAATTGACTTATATTCTAACAAAAGTTCCTGAGTTTTATTTGTCTAGGGTATAAGGAAGGCAGACTGCATATTTTCAAAAGAAAAAAAGGAGGGAAAGCTCAGCCGACTTGTTCTGTCCTCCACTGAATTTGTTCAGTTGGAGCCAAGGTACTTTAGCAGTCAACCACCAGTGAAAGTTAAGGATATTGCACAAGTTCCAAGCGGAACTGTTTCCCATCTCTTTGTTACAAAATTAAAGAGAGACGTAAAAAACTGAAAAAGATTTCTAGGGAAATAAATGCTGAAGTTCCGATGGGGTCTCTCTGAAGTTATGGGTCAGTTTTGCAGGGTCCCAAGACATTTGAGGTTAGTCTGATCCTCCCCCACCCCCAGCTGAAAGCTCAGCAGGAGGGCAGGGGCTTCTCCTGAAGGGGTGAGCTCAAAGGCCTTCTGAGCACCTTCAGTGGCAATTGCAAAGACAGCCTTCCACACCTTAGCTTCAAGACTGGGAGAAGGGGCGTTTGCCATGGTGACTGAATCTCTGGACCCCTGGGTGTTATAATCAAATCTTTTAATTGATCTATTTGTCCTAGAACACTTACCGATTCATCCATGATTGAAGCAGGATCAAAAAAATCTGGCTTTAGCTCTGTTCTTTCTCTCCTATTCTTTGACGGTGGCTGTAAAAAAAAAGAAAAGAACACCAGGGTGTATTCTGTTATCTATATGATGATCACCACCACCACCCTGAAGTTTCAGAAAACCCTTTTTGCTTCTCTTTTGCCAATCATTCCCAAAATATGGCCATGTGCCTCTGCTGATATACTTGGGCAACAGACAGAAAATTAACTTAATCAATTTCAGCAAACACAAAATAAACAGCTATAAACCAGCAAAAACGTTTAAAAGTAAATGATGTTACTTACTAGATCTATGTCCATAGTATCGAAATCCATGCCTTCGTTGAGATCCTCAATACGCCCTTCTGATGACATCATTACGTCTTCAACAATAGGCTCCTCATCATCTTCCATGAGGCCTGTGCCACGTCGACTAAAAAAAGACCATTAATGCATAACTTCACTGAGTTTATCATAATAGAAACCCACTGACATGTACCATCAAGTTAGTTAGATGCATGAATAGTAGTAAAGTCTGTCTGAGAGAAGCCCAGTCAATCACTAGATGAGGTATGCTAAGCATACTGTAATTTACACAGCAAATATAAACAAAGCGATCCCATATGTAGAAACTTCGCACCAAGGTTCAGCCTTAAGAAGTTCTTCAGGGTAAAGTTAAAGGATTCCACTCTGGACCAATCCAACATTGAGTGTAGGAGCGCACAATTGAAGGGACTGAAGAATAAGGAGAACTGCTGCATGCAAATCTAGCAACAATCATTTCTAATAGATCCCGTGTTTCTTTTAAATCACCAACATGTTGCTGGATGAGAAAGGACCACACAAAAGCCAAATCTGCTTAAGCACTGTTCACACTCCTTTTGTTGTCCCATTTTCAGCACAACGCAATTTCTCCTGCCTCCCTTCTCCATCCGCCACAGTTAATGTGCCAATATAAAGTTCTGCCCGAAGTAGCCTTGCTGTACGCTCACTCATACTCAAGGAAGTTCAAGCATGAAAACTATTTTCTAGTTATTTCTAAATCAATGAAACAAATGGTTGATGTCACAAAGAGCTAAATTAGAGGGGCTTACACTATATCAGTGGAAATGTAACTTTTAAAAAGTATTTGGACAACTGCAGGGGGAAGCAAGCTACTGGGGCGTGTGTGTAAAGGCTACATGAGAACTAGCTTCAAGCAGTGGCCCACGTATCAGAGCACTCAAAAACAATGGAAGGAGGCCTGATACAACACCAACCAAAATAGAAGAACTCCCCTGTAGGAGTCTGTACTCACAAAGCATCTCGTTTAAGAACTGAGCTGCTTTGCATCAAAGCAGCCCAGTTTAAAAGAAATGCCTTGCAAGTGTGAACTGTCATGGACAAGTTCTTCTACCCCAGCTAGCACCTCAGAAGGGAAGAATAAAAACAGAACTTAAAACATCAGAAAAGAACAAGTGAGACTGATTCCAATTGTGGCTCTCCGCTCACACTTACATGGCATGCTGCAGGTTGGTTCTCAGCTTCACATAGTTCATTGCTGCTCTCTCCTGCTGCTGCCTGGCTACTTCTTCCTGCTGCCTCTGAGCCAACATCCATGTTACCTGCGTGCTTGAAATAAAGAAAAATATTTTTCTTTGTTAACAAGGGCAGACCCAATATTTGAGCAGCAAACAGCACAGAGGTTAAAAGAAGAAGAAGAAGAGATTGGATTTATACCCCGCCCTTCACTTGGAGTCTCAGAGCAGCTTACAAACTCCTTTCCCTTCCCTTACCCACAACAGACACCCTGTAAGGTGGGTGGGGCTGAGAGAACTCTGACACAAACTGCTCTTTTTCAAGGACAGCTGTGCCAGAGCTTGTGACTGACCCAAGGTCACATCAGCAGGTGCAAGTGGAAGAGTGGGGAATCAAACCCGGTTCTCCCAGATTAGAGTTCGCACACTTCACCACTACACTAAACTGGCTCTCTACCCCAGCTAGAGAGCATATACATACTTGTAGTCAATTGGAGGTTGATGGTGTTCAGCCTGCATTGGGTAGACACCCATGTAACTCTCTTCAGGCCGCAATCTTTTGGGTTCCCTCATGATGGTGGAAGTGAGTGGCGGCGTCTGCATCATGACCGGCGTGTGCATTGTCTGCTCCCTGTTCATCCACATGTTATCACTACTGCTACTCTCCTCGGCTAGAGACACAAACCAACAAATTCAGGTCAACTGACATACTAACAGAACACAGCGTAAACTGCAGCAACAGAGTTGTCATATGCAACCTGTAAAAACACAGGGCAAGGCACCAATAAAAAACACACTGGCATGGTATGTTCTGCTATACATCTGTTACACAATTGTTTGCTGTGTTTAGGACTAAAGAGTAACTTCATGTGAACAGTCACATTTCCCAGGCACAGCCATGGAACAAGCATGGTAAATTCACATTTTAATATATTTTGGTGCCTTTATGTCATGGAACCACCTAAATACCTTTTATTGGCATACTCAGACACAGTACAATGGTGTCTTTATGTGTAAGATTGTATCCTGCTCTGTCAAACTAAATGGCAAACATGACCAACTCTGATGTGAACAGGATTTGGAGATCAGAAACATGCCATGGGTTAATGTATCATTTTCTTTCCTCTCTCCCAACAGTATTTGGGAGTTTCCTGTTTCCTGGCTTGCTCTAGTCATAAACTTGCTGTAATCTGTCAGAACACAGACAATCTATGGTTAATGGCCCCTTTGAACTATGGTTTGAAGACAATTCCTGTTTCCACTAGTCATTAGGCCTGTACACACACATACATGTTGACTGAATGTGAGGAGAAGGAGAGTGGGCATGAGCATTCTGGCCCTGTTCCCTGCCTCCATGGCTTGTGAGAACAGACGGATTGTGTGTACAGGACTACAGTTTGCTTAAGATTTCTTGGACAACAGGACAGGGCTATCATTAGAACGAACCAGGAAAGGGAGAAGGAATTGTGCAAGCCTGTGGTTTGGAGACCAGGAAATGTGCCACGTGGATTAAGCCGAGTTAGACAGGAGTGAGAGAATGAATGGACAGAATTTCATGGGCAAGGGAGGGCCTGGTATAAATGGAAACCAGAAAGTGTAGCAGTTTAATACAGTCACCCTGCTGTTAAAAGTCAGGCATCAGTCATACTGTACAGGAAGGACTCAAACCTTCAGGTAGTTTCCGTTTCCCTGTGGCTGGCTTTGTTTTCTTGTTCCTTACTGTTGACCCTCGACCACTCATTCCACTGATGACTGACATAGTGTCATCATCACCTCCAGCTAGCAATGAGTTCCTATAAGACATGAGTGGAAGCCACACATCTTCTCTTCGAAGAGACATCTGAAAGGTCATGAACTTCTCCAGGTAAACATACCTTTAAAAGAACAAAGACTTAGTGCTAAGCACACATATAATATATTGTAGTCATATGAACAAACTGTTAAAAGCTAGTTATACACACTCTTGGCTTTAATTTCAAAACTCTGAAAGACACAGGGAACCATTACATCTTGTCAAGTTCCTGCAATTCATGACAGAGCTCACCAGTCCTGCTCATCTTTATATTTTGCTCCATGATCCCTTAAAATAAGCTTTAAGCTGTATCACATAATTTAAAAAATCCCAACAGCATCACCAAATCAGCTGCAATATTCAAAGGTTATATACACAACACCAGAAGTCCTCTGAAGGAGTAGTATCTTAACTTGGGGGTTTAAAAAGCAGCAAGTGGGCCACTCTAGGAAAGGAATTCCATGACCTTGGCACCCACACTGCTCAAACACAACACTGTGAAAACAAGCCTATCAAGTACACTTCACAGGGTGATAATATTTGTGTTTTTAAGTCTGATGGTCACACACAACGGGCCTAATTCAGGAGATTCATATATGACACTAAGTTACTTAACTCACTCAAAACATTCAAAGTCTCTTTTAAAAAAAGCTTATTTTCTTCTAACGACTATAGTGAACCGGATAGTTAAATAAGACAGCATATGCTGTAAGAAATTCCAAACAATGAGAACCACAAAAAATACTTACACTGTTTTTTTGTCTTGCCTGAGAAGTTTGGAAGAGAACTCGCTTAATATATCAAGAAATGCCAAATTTAAAGGTGGATGACTCTCGCCTTGTGGATTAGGCTCTTTAAAAGCAAATTCTATGCCATCCCTAAAAGCAATGAGGAATCAGAGTAAGTACTTCTAATTAAGTTTGCATAAAAGGACAGAGGAACAGAAAACATGCAACAGTCTATATTTTTCTGTCGTAAGGCCAAACAATAATTACATTTTCCCAGTAGTTTTTAACATTTAGCATACTGCTTGTCACTTTGCTTTTAGAACTGTGAAGGACACATTCTTGGATTTAAACCAGGGGACCACAGCAAAAAATTGTTCTGGGAGACACTTCTAATAAACACTTAGCCCTGCGTTTTATTTTTAGCCATTTTTTGTTACCGACAACTTTACTCTGCATGCACCATAGCATGTACTTGTGTCTCTCTCTGTACCATCATTGATATTTTTGAACTCATCCTGTTAAATGTTCTCCCTTTAATCTCAACATTCCACAGTGCACATTCAGCTTTCCGCATCCCAAGCATCAAGTAGAAGGGGATGTGAAAGACCTCCTCCTGAATCTCTGGGAAGCCCACTGCCAGTCATAGTAGAATATTGACTCTGAAAGACCAACAGTCTGACTCAGAATGAGGCTGCTTCACATACAATTCTGAATCTCCTCTAAAAAAAATTTTGAAAAAAGATATGCCTATAACTAACACTAGCTTAAACTTATCACAGCTATTTGAATACTACAAGTACAGACGAGTCCATAAACTGAGAAAACTGTTTTAAGATGTTACTTCAGATTCATTTCACTATTCATTTTGTGCCTCCTTTCAAAGACTAAAGATCGTGAAAGTGGGAAATCTGTCATCACAGAGTTCACAAAAAAGCTAGCAGTTATTCATAACACAGGGCACATTACTGTTTGAAGCAAAGAAAACCTTAGCAATTACTTGTGTAACATAGCAATGGCTTCTCTTGTTTTCAGCTGATCAAGTCCAAACGTTAGAGCAAAACGTCGAGCTAACTCCTTAATGCCGCTGAAAGTTGGTGACGATCTGTCAAAATTATAACCATTTTCTTGAATCATCTCATTGAATAGCTGCATGATAAAGAGAGTTTTTTCAATTTTTCCCAGTCTTAATACAGTTTTTGTACAGTTTAACATTTTGTGGAAACACTGCTGTTAACAAACATTCCTTATGTGGAATTTCTCTGCCAAATCTTGCCAAACAATTAACTTCTAACAACTTTAATCAAAACAGACTTAAGAGCTAGAACATGAGTAGAGAACTAGCTCTCAAGTACTACTTTTCACGTTTGATTTACCTTTTGGTGAGACTTGCAAGGATTTTCTTGAAATTGAATTATCTAGTTAGTGAAAATACTATGAAATTTACTGTATGGTCTAAAAATTTACTGTATGGTCCTCTGTGCTCCATTCCTAAATGATGGATCTGTAGTTACAACATGCAAAGCAGCAGTGTAGTACTCAATTTGCAATGCTGGTTCATCTGAGGTAAACTACTCACGACATAGGCATCCATGACAAGTTCACATGAGCTATGAAACTCACTCAGAAGAATTCAGCTAACAGCTTAAAATATCAGCCTTAACAAAAGAAGATCCAGAACTAGTCGAATACTTGGGAGGTAACATATGCTCAGGGCCCTTAAAAACATCTGTATAAAATTTTGCTCCCATGGCTCTTCTAGCTGAGTGGATAATATTAATATAACTGCTTTTTGAGGAAAAGCGTATCTCAAGGTAATTTTTAATTAAGATACATTATAGTTCAAAAATCTCTCATTGTAGAATAGAGATTGTTAATTTGTAATGCATGAGACAATATTCATGTAATGTTTAAGAAAATCTAACAAGATTCAGGGACATTCATTCTTAGGGACCTAATTTCATGCTGTCCCAGAGGTTCCTGTAAAGATTATTTTGGTCAGTGATCTCCAACACTATGCCCTTTCAAGAAAGTATCTTGTATGACTTAACATCAAATAAAGCTCCAAATATTTCTCAAATATACAATAATATTCAATACATGAATTATAAGAAATACAAAAAAAAAATCAATAGGCTGGGGATTTAAAGCAATATCTAACATTTGTAAGACGGCTCTTATATTCATTTAGATGGAAGAGCACCTACAGAGTTAGGCTACACGTATCCATCATGAATAAAGAAAAATAAGGCAGTTTGGAGACATTGCTGGACAATGAGACAGTTTGGAGGCATTATTGGCTGAGAAGTTCCTGTTGCTATGCCTCTTTGGGAGTTCCCGCTGATGTGCAGTCTTGATGAAAGGATCGAAAACTCATTGAATAATCTGGAGGATGAGTTGACTGCAGTTTATTTCTTATTGTTTGTCTCAAGTCCTAAGGACTGGATCGACTTGCTGATTGCAGCTTACTTTACATTGTTTATCTTAAATCTTAAGAAGTGGATGTACTTGCTTTATGGACATTTGAAGATCATGTTTTTCAGTCCACTGAAATTGGAATTTGTGAAGTCTTTCTTTTGGGAGTGTTAAATAGTAAATGTTAGATATTGCTTTAAATCCTATCCTATTTTTTTATTTCTTGTAATTCATGTATTGAATACTATTGTATATTTGAGAAATATTTGGAACCTTATTTGATGTTAAGTCATACAAGATTTATATTTATTCATCTATTTCCTTATTGTTACTTTCAAGAAAGTAGGCAGGGCCACTGTGAAGGCAGCACTAGCAAATGGCTTCATACAAATAAAGTAGGTTCTCACCTGGCTCTTCCCTACCACTCACTGGACTAGAGAGCATTCAGGAGCACCAAGACAGTAGTCTTCAGTCCCCAGATCAGCTGACAGGGTGTTGGGGGGAGCATGGGGCAGCAAGGCTCTGATCAACCACCCAAGTACAGAGCAAGGAAGCCAAGTGCTTCTCCTCAACACTGGTAAATATGCTAGAAATAATTAATTTTCTGATATAACTGTTTTACTTAAGCTTTCAAAACACATTGCTATGTAAAAACTTATAGCATGTACCTGCTAAAAATGAAATTGGCATCTCTCTCTGAGTTGTGAATACATATTAAAGTTATAACAATCAACAAGAATGAACTTTATAAAGAAACCATGATTTAAATACAGCCTTCCTGACTAGTAATTTCAATCAAATCCATCCTGTCTACCAGAAATCAGAACTGGGTCTCCCTCACTCACACATGCACACAGGAACATGAACAGAAAACACTTTATTTCAACATGGGACCTTTATTTAATCCTTAAAAGTTTCATTTCTCCCTACAGTAAGGGGAATGGAAGTAATATCCACTGCTGCTACTAATTCCTACACCCCAACCCCAGGAGAATCCTAGGAGGGGTGGTTTTACCTGAATAGCATCTGACTTAATTATGATCCACTGACACAGTGAACCATATGAATGAAATTAATCACAGACCTGAAGAGTTCAGTTGAACTAATAATTACATTTTAAACATCTATTTATCTCTATTCAGCACCTAGAGCAGGTACTTTATCAGGGAAATACTTACCTGTTGTAAACTGAGAATTAGAGTCTTTGCACACTGAATTTTGTCTATCTGCCTTGTTTTACTCATTGTTTCTTTGATAATATCTCCATAATCATTGTAATACTACAGGGAGGGAAAACACAAAACAGTTGGAATTTAGTATACAGAAGAGATACATTTGCTGGTAAACATGGTTTTGTATGAGCAGTAGCATAAAAATAAACTTAAGAAATACGGTGAAAAACTGCTACAAACACATATAGTCAAATGTAACTACTGTTTCTGATAGCAATAAAAGATATGTAAACTTCCATATGATCAACTGAAAGGGAGAAGGGAACTACTTTAATGTAACAATTCATACTCTATATTTTAACAGTAAATATTTGAAAACAAGCTAGTTGATTACACAAAAAGAAAACAGTCCCCACTTTGAGTTTGCAGAAAAATCTAGAATATTTAAGATTACCTTCATATATTGCTTGAAAATATCTGCAGCAGTATTCATTTCTACCACAGTATATACAATAAGTTTACAAAAAGCCGCAAGTAAATTTCTTCTTTTGTGCAAAGCTTCAATCTTACTAGCTTCATCATCCTGCTGACCATCTTAAAGAAAAAAAGGAGTATGCATAGCATTAAGGAACCTGGATTTATCCCATTTTTCTTAATCAGCTCAACACCTGAGAACATCTTTTGCCCTTTACTGCTGCAAGTGCACGTCTCATAAGCTACTGCAAATACTTCATTCAGGTCCATTTATCAGACCACTATCTTCTTACGTAAAATACACACAAAATGATAATATTTACGGCAGCATCCTATACCACTTCTAATTAGTTTTATTATTTATCCTCTGAATACCATTATTAACAAGTCAGAACCTTTACAGGCAAAGAAAAAAATAGCAGCCTGCACCATGCCATTTAGAAAACTTAAACACCCATATGTCTTCTTAAAAGAAGGTGGTGATGTTGACCAACTCATCCCCCCGCCCACTCATCCCCCCCCCCATTTTCTTCTGGAGGAGGTCCATCGGACCTTTGGGGAGGTCAGGAGTGGGAGGGAAGAACTGATGGAAATTGCCACCCTTTCTTTAAAAAGCTTATGTGCCCATTTTCACATGCTAAATTAACATAATGGGCCAAATTGGGAAAAAACCTTTTTAAAGGGTGGGTTGAAATTATTTGGGGGGGGGGGTTTTTTACACTGGACCAACTGATAAGACTTTGTCATTTTCTTGCCTGGGGTACTATGACTTGTCAACTTCTGTTGAATGGCAGTATTTACAATTGCAACATATGTTGGTATCTAAATATGACCTTCAAAGTCCCCTTTGCTCCTGGAAACTCTAACGGAATGTATGCAGAAAACAGAGCCTACAGTGTTTCTCTATAGATATTTGATGTTGATTAATAAATATGATATGCAGAGTCTCAACAATGAATGGAATAAGGAGCTAGATTGCCATTTTTGCCAAAGCAATGGGATATGGCCTTAAAGTTTATACCTGCTCTCTATTGATCTTAAGTTGCAACTTACTTAGCAAAAAATTATATACTGGACACCACAGTGATTCTTCCACAAGAGAGTAAAGGGTCTACCTGCTGGCATTGTAACTCACAGGACACATCCCTAAAACATATGCTTTGGACATGCCCAGTCATTCAGTTTTTCTGGGAAGAAGTTATTACTCAGCAATTTTGTATTAGAATATTTAATGATTTTAAGGACGCTTATGTCTTTTTAAACTATTTGCCCATCTCTTGGAGGCTAACTGACAGTCAACAAAAATGGACCCTCTGTGCCCTTATTACAGCTGAAAGACCTGTATTACAACATTAGAAAGATAAATACCCACCTTTGGTAAATCAATGGATAGAGAACCTTAGGACTCTATCAATATTTGGACAAATGGTATATAGAACACAACTGCGTACAGACTTATTTTTACATAACTGGAAACCTTTTTCTAGCAACTTATGCATAGATCTGCCACTACTGTTCTTACTTTTGTTTGTACTTTAAGTATACTTTTCTTTCTTTTTGTCTGTGTGTTTTATTCTAGTGGCTGGATTTTCAAAGAAAGATTATTTTTTTTTAAAGTTACATTTCCTTAAGTATTCAAAACATGGTTGGACACAAGTCACAATACATAAAAAGCAGCTTAGTGGTCTTCTTTTGTTATAGTTTCTACACAGTTTCTCTTGTACCAACCTAACTTATATCCCTTTACACCTTTTCTTGTAACACTAAAAGAATTAGAAGAAGGAGAGATTGGATTTATACCCCGCCCTTCACTACCGAAAGGCGTCTCAGAGCGGCTTACAAACTCCTTTCCCTTCCCCTCCCCACAACAGACACCCTGTGAGGTGGGTGGGGCTGAGAGAGCTCTGACGGAAACTGCTCTTTTTCAAGAACAGCTCCTTATCAGAGCTACGGCTTGCCCAAGGTCATCCAGCCAGGTGCAAGTGGAGGAGTGGGGAATCAAACCCGGTTCTCCCAGATTAGAGTCCGTGCACTTAACCACTACACCAAACTGGCTCTCACTACACCAAACTGGCTCTCATCTAGAACACTGCTTAACAGAAACCCTGAAGTTCTCTTTTTTAAAAACCCCAAATCAGGCCAAAAAAACAAAGCGAGGAAGTTTTACAGGTTATACAGGACAACCTCAAAGCAAACCTGAGATCCTGCAGTTTAGATTATCTAACCTGATAACTGAAGCTGGACATCTTATAGGAGTGGCATGCCTCAGCCAGCAGATGAGGGCTCACATGATGACATGATAAAAGGAAAAAGGATTCCTACACATAGAAAGTTGTTATGCAAAGGAAATTCATCTTTTTCACAAGGAAGGAAGCCATCATGACAGCCCTCACCAGCAGTCTGAACTGCTGCAGTACAGACACAGGTTTGTTTAGCTTTAGTGTGTGTGTGTGTGTGTATCTTACTATGCTGTATATATGAGATTCCCACAGAACAGGAGGCTTCCTGGAGTCCACAAACACCATTGGCCCAATTAATTGATACATGTATGGAAGGCCACAAAAGGTTCCAAAGAATGCAAATATAGCAATCAATGTACAGTTAAAGCACACAAGCAAAGAACAATAAGAAAACTAAGAACCCATGTCACTGGGAGCATGCGTGACGGGGGGCTCAGACAGGTTAAGGTACAGTTAAAGCACACAAGCAAAGAACAACAAGAAAACTAAGAACCACATGAGGCCCATCAAAGTACCATTCAATAATAAAGAGAATATTTTAAAACAAAGCTGAGCTCAGTTGACTTCCAGGACTGACCTCTCAAAGCTTGATTAATACAGTATCAGATCATACGATAATTACTAAGAACATTTTTCCTTATGTTCAAGGCTCCAGGTCTCAGGAGCAGTTTGTATATGGGCCACAAGTAGAGCCTAACCACCAGCAGTATTTTGATTGTTGCCGGTAGAAATGTAACTTAAAAGTGTTGAACATAACAAGCAACCTGTTCTAAAAACCCGGCAGCCATGAATGTGAAAACTCCCGGGTCAAAAATAATTTAAATGAGAACTGCGGGGGGGGGGGGGGGGGAGTTGAGAGGATGGAAGGCTCCACCCCTATCCTCAAAGTGAGCTGACAGCTGATAGAATTGCTACAGCCCTCAGACACACAGGCTTCATTGGTGGCTATTCCTTTGGGGGCTGGAACTGGCCCCGTAGCCTCCAGTTGCCAATTCCTATTCAAGATTACCATGAAATCAGACACTGGAGCCAATGAATTATACAAACAAAGGTTAAATTAATGCAGATATAGCTGTCCATTGACCAGAAAATTGTTTCCACAGCCCTGTACCTGCACTGTTGCTGTCATCATCCTGGTCAATGAAAACATGATCGAGAATAAAGCTGAGCAGTTCAGACTGCAACGAAGAATCAGGACTGTAAACTAATGGCTCTAACATGTCACGTCCTCCTGACATAATCTGATGGCTGAAGATCATTAATACATCGCACAAAATAGTGAAGGCCTGCAAAGAGGAATAAGAGGGGGTTGAAATGATTTTTAAGATTAGAATTGAATCCACATATGCAGTGTGTATGCTGAATCAAAGCAAATCACTGCCTTACAGCTTATATTTGGGTTCAAAGCAATTATGTTAACAAGATAAAATGGTCTAATTATTGTAATAAAAATCACTCTGGTAATAAGCAAATGTGCCTCTCAAGAAGGGAACCTGAAGAACACTGACAAAGCTTTTTCCTCTGCTATTCTTGCACACTCAACTTTAAGGAGAAGTTTCATAAAGCAGTATCTCCTTATCAGTCAGGGATACTATTTGTTCTGTTAAATTAATGCTCTGCCTGAATTTTCCGTTGTTGTTGGGGTTTTTTACATACAACTTTTCAGTTAGCAAAATCATACTGCTTAAGAAAAGTGTGGATTTACTAAAGAATCTCCCAACTATCTTCTCCATAGGTGGCGATCCAGGACTTGTAGGCCTGAGTTGGGACAGGGGAGCTCTGTCTTCCAGATCTGCAGTTTCCAAAGGTAACGCTTTGCCCATACTCTAAATGTATGTGTCCAAATAACTGCATCATATCCCTTCCACACAAATTAAGAAATTAAAGAACTATTTCTCTCTACAGGTGACTGAATGTTTCTTCTGCAACAGCTTATAAACCCCAGAAGGATCAAGCAAAGACTAACCTGTTCTTTAACAGCAGTATTTACATTGGTAAGGTAGTGCTGGCAGATTTGACAAAATACCCTCATCTGCTTCTTTAAGCGCAGAAGGTCCTCCTTTAAAATAAAACATGAAAATAGTAAGCATCCCTGTAACCATACTTGACTGTCACAGAGAAAAATGTGTGATTCCTTGGAGACTGAGTGCTTGTTGCACTGCAGGAAAATCAACAACTGAAGACAAGAGATCCAAGGCTCAATTTAATGTGAAGTCTTTTTGACCAGGCATCATACATTCATGCATCCCTGTGCCCTCGTGCCCTCTGCCACTGCCTTCCCCCATTCTCATCATATTGAAAGGCATTCCAAGTAGGAACAAAAGAAGTTTTCTAAACTGTTTCCAGGCACTGCAACTGCAAATTGCTAGTAGCATCAGGACAAGACTTGCCTTTGTAGAGCTGCTTTCAGTAATTTTTGCTAGCTGCCAAAGGATTACATAGTGAGTACACTGCAATGCATGAATAACAATCTGTGAAATAAGAAAAAATGATTAGCACACAAGAATTGTAATTTTGGGGTTTTTTTTTAAATTCAGCATTCTTTTAAAACACTGACCTGTTCAGGCATATCTCCATTTTCAATTCCTGTTTTTAACAACTTGTAATTGCAACCAAACAAGTCCCACCTTGACAGATCATGAGCACTGGAAAGAAAAATAATGGCAAGTGATAACACTCTAAACAGCCCAATTAATGGAGTGGGTTTGAAGTGGGGATGGCAAAAGAAACAGCTGGATGTATGGACTAGAGTAGTAGGCAAATGCCCCTTTAGGACTTACATACAAGGTTGCTGAACTTAGCACAACAGCTCAAAGTTTTAAGATTGCATATAAATAAGAATAATGTTTGCACAATTTAATTATAGTTGTCCAAGTAATTTTAATTACAGTTGTCAGAGTAGCAATTCCTCATGAAAAGAATGTAAATTTTACACTAACAATGCAGAAGAGTCACAAGTGTGGGTAGACTGCTCTTCTACTTACTTATGAAAAGCTGTTATTCTCTTTAACGTTGATAAGACTTGGTAAGCATCATCTTCATCAGGTTCTTCACCCTATTAAAGAATTACACTGTTGCAAGGACTTTCAAAAATGCAATTTCTTTTATGTTACAGCTTTCCATTACCTAAAATAAAAAGCTGGCAAATACCAATGAGAGCTATCAATGTATTACTTTCCACACAAGCATGTACTTAGGCCAGATGTGAGATTATCTGGGAGGTACACACAAATCAAGAAAATTTCGGCACATGTATTAGACACTATGAGAGGCAAATAAACTTCTAATTCCCCTTCCACTGCCTCTCATTTACTGCATGAAGAGAGAAAACTCTCGCAATCCAATATATGCAAGTATTCTGTGTTTGTGCTTTACATGACACTTTTCACTGCATTATGTGGTAATTAGAAGTCATATCTAACTCTGCAAAGTAAATACTCACAAAAAAAGAAATACAGAATTGGAACAAAATAAACATGCAAGCTACAAACCTCTTGCAGAAAATCTTCAAGAAGTCTATTAAATTTATCTGCCAATTCATCTATTAGCTGACTTCTTGCAATATCAACTCTGTTAAAGATTGTGAATTCTTCATTACAGAGTGCATGGTATGTTTTAGAACAAGCTTCCAAAACGTCGGTGTCTGTGTGCTTTTCTACAATATCCCGGATCTGTCGCAATAAGGCATCCAAGTGCTGCAAAAGACACCCCCCCCCCCAAAAAAAAAGATGATAAAGTATGGCAAACTGTTTTCCAGGTATGTTTGATCAAACTTGAAGCAACAACAAACTGACAAAGTTAAAGTCACACTTCATTAAGGGCCCTTCTTCCAAAAATGAATGTTTATGAATATTAAGACATTAGCTATGCCCAATTAATGTGATATTGATACACACTTGAAACCATTTATTCTATGGATGAGTGTTCACTGAAGCCTTGCTGTAGAAAATGAACCTCAGGACAGCCTTATGTACAACAAGCAGTTTAAATGCAGGAGGATTATTTGTTCAGATTTCATCCCCCATTAATTCTTCTGTACTTGTCAATTAGCTTACCTTTTCTAGTCGCCCTGTTGTATAGATTTCCAAATCAAAATACTGTGGCAATTGTAACAAGTTGGTGACTTTTTCTGCATCTACAGAATACTGTGAAAATTGAGACAGTTAAAACCAGAACACGTTTGTAGAATATATGTCCCATAACCCATAATCTCAAACAGTGAGTTTCATTACGAAATCTAGAACATTCACTATCAATTAACAGTGAAGCACCATAAACAAAAATACAACTCTTTTACCTGAAACCTTATTTTTGTTCAAAGCTGCATTAGACATTGTGAGCAGAACTGCAATTAAGCAAGCCCAATAATAAATAAACTCACTTTTGCTAGTAACTGAGGGAGTGCCACAGCAAAGAGTTCCGTGATTCTTGTCCTGTCATCCAACTGTGCTTTCTTCTCCTTTGCTGTAAGTACCTAAGTTATAAAAGCCCAATAAGTTATAACAGCCCAATGGGGGCGGGAACAGCAGTTGTTTAATTCAATAGCAGCTAAGCAAACTGCTCAAACTGCATCCTGAAAAGTAAGATCTCTTTGAAAATAAAGAACCAGAGCTCATATAAATATACATCAGCAATGCCAGATTATATCAAAGTTGTAACCTGCAATCTGCACACACCGGATGACAACTACATAAAAAAATTTTTTGGCAAAGTACCTCTGAACTTTTAAAAGTTTAAGGCATGTTAGTCTGTTGTAGTAAAGTACAAAGAAAGTGCAGACACACCTTAAAGACTAACAACATTTATTTCAATATGAGCCTTCGTAAATCACAAAAACTCAAACTGAAATAAATGAATAAACTGTTAAGGTGTCACTGGATTTTTGTTTTATTTTGGGTAGCCATGCTGGTCTGAAGCAGCAGAACAAAGCTGGAGCCCAGTGATACCCTTAAGACCAACAAAGTTTTATTCAAGGTGTAAGGTTTTGTGAGGAAGTGTGCATGCACAAAAAAGCTTATACCCTGAATAAAATTTTGTTGATTTTAAGGGTGCCACGAGACTCAAACTTTGTTTTATTTTGGTTCATTCTGGCCCTCAAGGTAAAGGCAACATGATTGCTACAGTCATCCTCTGAGGTCCTGCTTCGAGTGTCCTGAGAAAGGGCCTGTGATGGAACTTCTAAAACTTTACTAAGGCTCAAGAATGCCACCTAGAGCATCTTGGACCTTTGACACATGGGGGTACATTAAAATAACCCATTAATTTCCATTCCACATTGGACCATCCTAGCAGAGTTAGTCCTTTTTGGACAAAGGACAATCTGGTTTGCACTAAACCACTTATTTGTCATGGAGGTTCCCAGGTGCCCGAGAGAGGTGGAAAGATATTTTAGCTGTTTCTTACTGATAACAGTAGCCTTTGACATCAGAGTTGGGGCCTTGCATGAGATCTGCTAAATGAACTTGTCACTCTTAGAAAAGGAGGCTGGCTTAGGTTCAATTCCACTGATCATAAATATCTGGACTTTAGAGACTTTCCATTATCTTTAGTGGAAACTGGGATCCACAGGAGGCTGGGTAGAGGTTAAGGTCTCCTCCAACCTCTTGTTACTCCCAGGAACTCCATACATGCTCTGATGAACCTGCGACAGCCCAGGTAAAGTGTACTCAGCTGAGTTAGTTCAATTGCACTGCTTTTTGTTTTGGAATTCTGTGCATTACGTTCTTGTGTGTTTTCTCCCCTGTATTTTTGGTCTGCCCTTTTTTCACTCTTCTTAGATTCCAACCACCCCCCTTCTCCTATTTTTCCACTTTATTATAAAAAACAATCCTTGTTTATAAAGAATCTTTTGGGCTTTGCTTAGTACAATCTATTCTCTGAATCTCTTCCCTACATGCTAGACCACACAGATGATACATAGTTGGTTGTAAGGTATTTTTCTTTGACATTAGCCTTTGTACTAATCATGCGCTAGATAGATACCTTCTCAACAGGTCAGTCGAAATGTTCTCAGGATGTCCCCAAGTGGTGGCAGCTAATTAGCATGGTGCTTTCCAGTGAACCCTTGGTCCGAGGAAGGTTCCCAGCACGGAAATACACCATTACCCCACCTTCCTACTGTAAAAAGGTTTTCTAGGTCATGGTGCCAAAATTATGGAACTCCCTCTCCCCATGGATATTCGCTTGTCTCCCACTTTCTCTGTCTTCCTGCACTGGATGAAGACTTGTTTCATCTGCCACTCTCAATGTTAACTTCTTACTGCCTTGTATTTTAATTTGATATCCACTGTTTTATATATGTATTTTAACTTTTTAAAAATTGGTTTATGATGGCCTTGTTTGGGCAGAAAGAAAGGTGGGATATAAATGTTGTAAATAAATCAAATAAATAAAAGATACTTTTAAAAAAGCCTTACCATCATAAAGTTCTGCTTTCAATCACCACACATCTTACAGTAACTTGAGATTTAATAAATACTTAAGTTTTTCACTTCCACTGGAGTTCAAGTAAAAGTACAGTGGTTTTGTTTCATAGTATTATATGTTTTGGTGTAAAGCTTGATAAAATGCCATTATGTGGTATGGCATAGTCACATGACTGGTCCAAACACCCAACAGGATGATAACCTACCATGACAAGTCCTTTGTGACCAGAAAGTCTTACTGAAATTCCAAACTAGGAAAAAAATGTAACTTTCTCATCAACAATAAAAATTTCAAACAAAAAATACCTTACCCGCTTTCCTGTGCCTCTTCCTACAGGAGGATGACATTCAGCAGCTTGTCTAATTGTACACAGCATTATTTCAATCAGTGCAGTTTCCTGTTTGTCCGTCAAGGCTGATTTTTTTTTGGGGGGGGGAGAAAAAGAAAGAAGATTTCAAATAGCATATTTGTATATGACAAGCCAGATACACATCACAAGAGCAAGAGCTATATTCACTGCTTAACAGTGGGATACTAAGTAGTGAAAGTATTTTAAACTTTAACCTTACAATGACTGCCTCATACTTCTCATTACTGTCACTTCAGGATTAAGCAGGGGAAGGAATATGTAACAGTCAATTTAAAATTCAAGTTTGCAAGTCAATTTAAAATTCTACCATTTTCAGGTTTTGCATTATTGATCAACTATTTAAGAAAAACCAGCACACTAGGAGTTTTACTAATGTAAAACTAGTGCACTATTTCTGTTCAAAAATTATTTCAAACAATTACAATTCCAATATAGAAAAACTGAGCTGGACAAGGGGAAGAGGGGAAAACCTCAGCGTACTCGGACGACAACTTACACATACTAACTTGAGAGTACGTCTCACCAAAAGAAGTGGGATTACTTCCAAGTAAAGTGCAACAGATACACAGTATATTAGAACCAATGCCAGGGCGTAATATTCTGCCTTCTTATCCATGACAAACGTATACACATTCAGTGGTGAAAATACTAAAAAGGCTCAGGGGAGGACAGAAAACACAGTGAACTCTTACGTTCTTCTCCATTGAGTGGTTCCTCCAACAGAAGACTATTCATACATTCCCAGTCCTTCAAGAGGTCAGTTGCACAATCCCACATGCTGTCCACCAAGTAAGCCGCATGCTCATGTAACTAAAAAAATAAATAAATCTATATTTAACATTTTGTCTCATAAAAACTATATATGCAGTCCAATAGCTACTATTGAGTACTGAAGGGGCTGTGACTGACGCCAACACTACTTGCTTTTAAATGTTCTAATTCTAAACACAAAATGGGTAATAGGCCAGAAAATGGCTGTTAACGCCTGGATGTCTTGGAGGATGTCAATTCATAGGGTCGCTTGACTTGATGGCACACACACACAAGCCTTTCGAGAGTCAAAGTTCCCTTTGTCAGATATGAGCAGGGATGGAGATCAGAGTTTTTATATTTCAGTCAGAAGGTGGGAAGGGTGTTGTAAAGAAAGAATTTAGGATGCAAAGGTACAAGGCATATTGTAATCAGCTTGAGTAGAGCATCTGTTATAATCACTTCAGGATTCAAATACAGGATTAAGAATCATGTATCTGTGTTCAGCCCTGGGGGATCCATTGTTCTGAATTTGGTCATAGTCAAGAAACCATTCTCAGGTCTTGCAAAATGAGGGCCACAGATTCCTTGATAGAGTCAATGCACCTCATGTTGGGTCTTCCTCTGTTCCTGCTGTCTTCAACTTTTCCTAGTATTATTGTCTTTTCCAGTAAGTTTTGCCTTCTCATAATGTGACGAAAATACTACAGCCTCAGTGTAGGCTTGATTTGATCTATGTAACCCACTCATTTATCTTTTTGGCAGTCCATGGCATCCATATATTCCAACACCACATTTCAAAGGAATCTACTTTGTTCCTGTCAGCTTTCTTCATTGCCCAACTTTCACACCAATACACAGTAATTGAGAATACCATGGCATGAATTAACTTGATCCTAGTTGCCAGTGACACATCCTTACACTTAAGGAACTTTTCTAGCTCCTTCATGGCTGCCCTCTGCAGACTCCAAACTCCTTCTGATTTCTTGGTTGCCGTCTTCCTTTTGGTTGATGATGGAGCCAAGGAATAGAAAATCTTGAACAATTCCAATTTCTTCGTCATCAATCTTAAACTTGTGTAATTCTCCTGAAGTCATTACTTTTGTCTTCCATATGTTCAGCTGTAAGCTTATATCCCAAAAACCTTGATGGTCTCTAAGGTGCCACTGGACTTGAATCTAACGGTTCTACTGCAGACCAACACAGCTACCCTCTGAAACTACGTACAAGCCTTGAAACATTAAAGGCATAGTCAGCATTCTGAACAGCTGGCTGGCTTACTAAAAAAAAATGCTGCTTATTCAATAATATGACCTCTCAACTGATGCAAAACAATTAAATCTGTTCCATCAAACTGGTTTGTGTACTTTATGGACTTGTCAAACCCTTCTTACTAAGCAGAAGATGAACTGTAATTTGCTATGGTACCCACACAGGAGAGAAAGGGCCATAAAACGTTACTCTCAACTGCAGTTACAGAAAATGAACAAGGTGCTCATAACTTACTTCACTTTCCAAAAAGAAAAATACTAATGTCTTGACAAGATTAGCATTTGGGCCTTGTCTTCCCCTTCTTTTAAGAATTCCATCTTCTTCAGGTTCTCTGCGACTGAAAAGCCTTTAAGAAAGATTAGGGGGGGGGGAGCTATTAAACAACATTCACTTTCTACCAGACACCAAAAATACAGTGTATCAATCTATAAAAAGTTTAGACCAAAAGTTTAAAAACAACAAAATTCAATACTTTATGTTTACCTTTACAGGATCATAGAACATTTCCTGAGGTCGGATGATCACAATAAACTGTGACAGCCTGTTATTTTTAATTTCAGTGTTCACCTTCAGAAACTGGTTGACTATAGCACCATTCATCCAAAACCCAAAATTGCTCAATTCAAGTATCACATTGAACCATGTTTTCCCTAGAACCCAAATCACAGTGTGAACTTCCCAATGTTGTTCATAGCTACCTGTCTGCTCCCTTTTCCCTTTCAGTCAGCAGTCCATTTGTTAGGTCTGGTGGCCTCCAGAAGCAAAAATGGCTATAACTAGTATGTCACTTTGACATCATGAGAAACCAAGGTTGGAACTAACCAACTCCACTTTATCAGCATTTGCAGGCCATCCCATAAAGAACAATTTGTCCATTCATACATTTCTAAACAGATTACACTTCCTTCCTTAACTATGGATTTGCATAACTGAACGATAAAGAAGTGCCGTCAAGAGAATTACACATTTGAAAAAGGCACCTACACAAATAATTATTTCCCCTTACTTTTTATAAAGAAATTCGCCTGCTGCTACAGCTACTGGCCGATGAGCTGAGTAAACAAGATGATAGACATTTTCACAGTCTTCTGCAGTCAGAACTTCTTCACTACTCCTAGAAATTGGGGAAAGGTGCATTCAGAATATTAAAGGGGGGGAAATAAGGGATGTAATTAAAGATCTCACTGAGTATGAGACTAAAATGTTAAGATAATTCCAACCACAAATCTTCCTGCTTTGAAATGTAATATTTAGCTAATCATATGTTTGAATACACCTAGGTTGTCTTCCCTTTCTGACTACATACACCTCAAGTAATGTAAGGTAAGGTATATTAGGATGACGTTTACAGTTTGATCTTTTTTCAGTATTTATCACTGTATTTTCTGATTACTTTGCATCAGACAACTCCATCACTCCAATCTTGAATTAATTCAAGCGTGTGAGCTCCAAATGAAAGAGCATTTAAAACTGTTAACAATGCAGATGACTAAATACCAAAAAGCTTTTCTTGGTAAAGGTATTAATTTGAATCTCTTTTCTATCAGTATTCTTGAAGTAGAAAAATTAAACTGGCTAAAGTAATTCCAACAACAAAAAATCATTTTGACATATTTGCAAATTTCTTCATATAACTGTAAGGCGCACTGAGTTCCATACTGCCGTAGGAAGGGGGAGTATAAGCAAGCTAATGTTCTAAATAAGGAAAGCATTTCTAATAATCAGATGAAAAAGATAGCCAAATTTCACTACTACTTCTGACAGAAAAGGCTGTCTCCAAAACCAGCAGCAGTTGTGGCAAACACAGGGCATACTGAGAATTATAGTGGAATATAGTTCAAATGTTATTTGTATAATGGGAGATAGGCCAAGCTCCCTCAGATATGTATTTTAATACACTTATAATTAAAGTGAATTAGCTATACAATGATCATCAAAGCAGTCCAAATTATTATGTCAAACTGAGGAGTCAGGGTGGATCAGATGATAGCTTAATTACTTGCTAACTGCAATGGCTCAGAAAACTGGGGAGATATGGCTGCACTCATGCTTTTTAGATTTTAAAGGAGTTGAAATGCAATTAGTCTTCTGAAGTCAACATTTTAGAAAACTATATGACTTCACCAGGACATGCATTCAAATGTCAAAATAAATTATTTAATCAGAGTTTTGCTACCACTGTGCACAAACACAGCTTCCTCACTGAATTCTCCTCACTCCTCCCAACTGTAGAGCATGAAGCTTGAACACTTCCTGGTCTGAACAAGCTCCAGTGTGCCACATCTTCAAGTGCCTTGGTAAACTGGAATTTGCTTCTTAACACAAAATTCCAGTTTTCTGGGAAGGCTGTATAATGCTGACAAAACTGTTTAAATAGAATTTGTGAAGACACCAAACCACCTTAAAAGACCCTGAGCCCTCAAAAGAATGCCAAGGATCTGAAACATTCATTCAGTAAATGATTTCTGGTTCTAACACTGCAGAGAAAAAACCCTGAAAACTTTCTCAAAGAGAAATATATTTCCTGGCCTCACACAAATCATTGGGTAGCCCCAAGACATGAACTTCCAGCAACATTTATAGTCTGTAATGTGCACTTTGATCCAGTTTTCAAATTAGTTCTGAAAACTGGCATCACAAAGAGTTTTGTAGAACTACATTAAAAAAAGTGAGGCTGGCATCCAAAGTTGGCAATGATGGGCAGTTGCCAGGGCCCTAAGAAGAACCTCCAGCACCAATCCTTTCTCTGCTGCAACAGTATTACACCTCTCAAAGAGATGGTGCCTTCTCCGTCCTTCGGTTTGTGCCCCACTGGGCTTCTTTTCTTCTGCTCCAACTATAAGCAAGCCCACAACACCACCACTCATTCTCTCTATGAAAAACCAATGGGTAAAGAGCAACTGCAGCCACTCAGAAAGAGATCAATGGGCAACCACTGACCAAATAACTGAATAGCAGACCCACTCCCAACACCACTGTAGCTTGGCTCACTAGCAAGCCATTGCTGATTGAGCAACTGCTACTGCTTTTATGTTGTACTGTTTACTGTTGTACCACTTTTATGTTTTATGGAACAACATCAAGAGTTGAAGGGAATGCTGGGGGAACCACAACCTGTGGTGGCAGCAGCAAGGGCTTTCCTCTCCTCTATCAGACGGAGGGAGGACAAACCTGCTCACTTATCTTATCCACCCAAATGAGCAGCTGCAAAGTAACAAAGATAAATCAACAACAAACAGCTACCACTATTGCTAACAGCAGCCAACACAGCATGTCATTCTAAGCAGCCAGTGGCAGTAAGAAAGCACCACCTGATTTCTGCATGTTGGAAGGGGCCACCGAATGATGTCTTTTCAACCCCCTCCCCCCCAAGAAAATGGCAAACAAGATACATAAATGCAGACAATCAGTATTAATGAGTGGTCTAAAATACTTACTGTAAAACAAGAGTAAGTAGTTTTATTGCTTGTACGGCAACATCATATTCTTTGTCAAGAGTCATAGATACAATCCTATCCTAAAGGAAGACAAAAATAGTTTGGAAAATGGAAAATGTTAGAAACAGGAAGTGTAAAGAGCTATTCTTTAAGAAAACAGACTATCAAATAATACTAACCTTGAACCTACTGGTGAAGAGTTCCAATTTGGAATTAAGTTCTTTATTATAATAAAGTCCTTGCAAAGCGGTGAGGCATTTGAGTCTTACCTCCCCTTGCTATAACAGAAAAAAAACACAGAATGAAATCTGAGGTATGTGGGATGTTAAACACAGCATTTTCAATAGTTCTATGTGCATATTACAGTTCATCAGTTCTTCAGGTTTTCTACTGCTCTAGTTGTTTTTTTTATAAATGGAAAAATAATCAGTAGTTCTTCTGATCATAACAATGAAAAATGTTCCCAACTTAAGCATAATCCAAGAGAGGCTGGGTTTCAATGTAGTACAGTAAGATCTGCAACCCAGCAACTGACAAAGTTAACTAGCATGCCAGACTGCTACACCAATGCCTTCTCCTGAGCAACAGCAGACTAGGCTCCAGGTCCTTGCCATGGGCACCACCCACTCAGATTACTGCCAAAAAACTGTCAGCCATGATTAGATGATGGCCAAGAAGCACTGCCTGCTCCTCCACTGCCTGTTCTGATGCAAGGAGGAGCAGGCAGGACTTCTCGCCATGGGCACTGGACAAGGGCTGGAGGTTTCCCATGACTCTGTCTGACACAGGATGTCCAAGCTGGGCATGCAGGGCAACCCTGCTCACGCTGTCCTGAAAATCCTGGTGAGACACGATCGGAGGGGCAGCAGGTTGGCCACAGAAATGAAGGAAGGTTGGGGAGGAGTGAAGATGGTGACTGCAGCTTGGGGAAAGCCGCCACAACTGCTGATGATGTCATCCGCTGACACCACTCACCCAGGAGCTACAGAGAAGCCAAGCTGAATGAACAGGGAAACGGTGGGGCAAAGAGGGATGGCAACACCTGCAGCGGGACAGAGGAACTACAGGAACCTGAGCACACCCTTGGAAGAGGTGATAGGGCCGGTGGGAGCTGGAGTCAGGCAGTTACGCCAGGCCTGGCAAGGAAGGGAGACTGGATGGAGGAACCAGTGGCTGACTGAGCAGCTGCAAGGAGTAGTTTGTGTGGGGGAAGCTGGGAAGGAAGGGAAGGAATGGAAGGGGGCAGGTGATTCCCCAGGTTTTAGGAGAAGGAAGAGCAGATTGGATCTAAACCTGAAGGGAGCAGAGCTAAAGAAGTCTATAAAAGAATCACTCCCATGTGTGGCCAGGCAGGATAGGCCAGGGAGGATGAGGTCTGGTTAGAAGCCAAGAGAGAGTGTGTCACAGAGACAGCCCAGGGGAAGTAGCAGGAAAAGAGTGACTTAACCCCCTTCCCTTCCCAATTTTGATGTCACGGGAGGACTGCAGCAAATGCTGGCAAGGTGGCTGAAGGCGGAACTCCTACAGAGGAGCGCAGGGGACCTCACAGCACCACTAGAGATGTAAAACTTCCAGAAATTTTGAAGCTCGGAAAACCCCCCGTTTTTTCCCCAGTTTTTTTCGGGGGGGAAACGGAAATTTTCGGAAAAATTGAAAAATGCTACATTAGCATTTCTTTTGTCTTTTCTAGATTGAAAGTCATTCTGTTACTTTAGGAACATAAAATATGACTATGGACATTTTTACTTGGCATGAAATTATCACAACTAGCATATTAAAAATATAGTGTATCCAAACAATTATTACAAACAGAATACCCACCCACATGCAAAAACAAAATTGAAACTTTTTTATTTTCTTCTGATAATCGCACCTCCTAAAGGAAGAAATGCATCTTGTTCTTGCATTGGAGAGTTCAGTTTGTAACCTAGGACTTGCTTGTCCTCAGTGCACAGAAATTAGATCAATCTGATACCATATATATATATTTTAGAAATGATTTGGAAAATATTTGAACACCTAGTCTTAAAATATTTTATTCATGTTAAAATAAAACGTTCCATAATCAGGTTTTTTTCCTTTTTTTTTTTTCAATTTTTCCAATTTTTCGGAAAAAAACAAAAAAGCTTCAGGAAAAAAACAGGAAAAAACTAGCTTTTTTCTGAATTTTTCCGGGTTTTTTCCGGGCCTTCACATCTCTAAGCACCACCCCCATGCATAACCACCAAATGAGAGGTGCCCATGGGCAGGAGCTAGCCAGGACACCTTACCTACTCCTCCACTCAACTCTCGTGGGACAGAGGGCTGCAGAGCAGCAGTGAGCATATCACAACTTGACCCTGGCTGCTGCAGGCTGTGGTGGAGTGGGTATGTGTTCTGGCCACATCCTGGCCGTGGCTGCTTCACATTCACTACTGCTGGCTGGTAAAAACCAGCAGAAAAGGTACGGCATGCAGAGCACCTTACCTTGTCATGCATTGTCCACCCTACATATTTTAAATAGCTATCATTGAGGAAGGCATCACTATACATTTTCATCCAGATCCCAATTTCTTCAATACAAATCGCTCTTATTTCAGCTATTGCATCTCTGTAAGAGGACAAGAGGTAGAGGAAATAAAAAATGTGACAAAATGTAGGAAATACTAGGAAGCTAATCTTACAGGACTGTATGGTTACACAAGAATTAAACTCACCGATATCTATGAACAAATACACCTTTAAAAATTGCATTCATCATATTTTCTATTTCATCCTGATTTTCCTGAAGCTGGAAAACACAAGTATTAAATGGACAAGCTGTAATGCGGATTATCAAGGATACGAATCACCTCTACTTAACACTGATATCATTTTCAAGAATATTTCATGAAAGGTTAGAATACAAGTTTATTGTTTAAATATCCGGCAACTTTCTCCAATTAAATTGAAATGATATTAAGGTACTAGGACCCTGGCAATCAAGATTAAGTATACAACTATCATTATATATACTGTAAAGCTGACAGGAACAAAAAATGCCACACGTATTGAAAGTATGCAATTATGGCAATGCAACAGCTGTGTACATGTTTAAATGAAAAAGTTCTGCAAACACTTAAAATTACTAATGTTGGACAGCCACAGTTTATAGAAACAGATCAACTGCTATCACAAGTGCTGTCAGTATACCCACTGACTGTATACCCAAATGCAGAATTATTTTATCATTCTAATCTAGAGATATACGGTGAGCAAAGGACACTGCTGTGTGGAAGGGGGAACTTCAACTTTGGACACTGTCTCACAGTGCAAAGGACGGAACTCTTCTCAGTACACTTAATAGCCTATCTGTACCCGGAAGCAGCTCAAACAGAATGCTCCCATCCCTAGGGGTGCAGGTGGCAGAGAAGAGGACAGTAATTATATCCAAGAGATCTTAAGATATTTGCCAAAGTAACATCACCTAGGAAGAAAAAGGAGGTTCAACAAGCAATTGTGGTCTATCATATCCACTGAGGAGTGGCGCAGATTTACCAATTTACACCATTTATGGAAGAGACATGGGGGGGGAGAGAACTCTGTGCCTTCAGTTTGCCACCATCACTGTCGTCCACGTGTTGGATCCAGTGCAAAATTTCCACTGACAGAAAAAAATTCTACCAGTGGAGCAGGATTTCTCTGCCTCCCCCCCTCCCAGATGCCCTCAAACACTTCTCCTGGAGGATGAGGACTGCCAGGAATAGGATGAAGGAGGAGTTGGACATCTGCCGGGGGGGGGGGGGGGGAATAAATTTAAAAAACACTTCTGTCACAGGATGTTTACCACTGGACCCACACACACCCTTCTTCCTTAGGGGGATTCTATGGAAATATACTTTGAATACATATCACCAGTCAAGAAATGGCAAGAGGCATTTCACAATCAACTGGCAGCATCCTCCCTCCCCTTTAGTATCAAAATATTTGAAAAAAGTTGAGTACAGAAGTGTTTTGTTAAAAGCTTCACAGAGGCATTGTACATGTAAATTAGAACACAAATTCTGTAGGTGCTCTCCAAATGTTTTCAAAAGCATTTTTGATTAACGTGACTGTTTGCTTCTTCCTCTTGCCCAACCCTTAGCATAACTGACAAATCTTCTAACCTCCTTCCTTTTTTGTAGTAAGAGTTCCAGTCTATCATTAGCTCGTTTTCCAATTATTTTATTTCGTTCTGCTTCATACTGACGTTGTGTATTGTCCATGTTAATGCTCAGATTTAATGCCACATTCACTAATGCAGTCATCAGTTTCATAGCTGAAAAGTACAAAATAATAAAGGCGGGGAGGACAGTTACGTTAGATGGTTGTTTCCAGAAAGCACTGATATTAACCAATGACTTATGAAAAACATACTGAAACCCAAATATACTCAACATAAAAAAGATTCTGAATGCTTAACTCAAAAGCATGGAAAGAACCCTGATTTATTCTGCAAGACTTCTTGTTAAATGATCCTAAGGAGCAAGAGTGATAATACCCTTTGCCCAATACCTGGAGAGCTGCTTTTACTAGGCAAGGTGAACCAGTGGTTTAACTTAGCTCTTTATATTTATAAAGGTGAACCAATTGTTTAACTTAGCTCTTTGTATCAGGGAATCAGGCTCCTGGTCTTTGGTGGGACATTGGTGCCAGTGCCAAGGGTAAGGAGTCCTGGGGTGATGCTGGATTCCTCACTTACTATGGAAGCCCAAGTCACTTCAGTTGCCAGATCAGCCTTTTATCTTCATCTGATCTTCAGATAATCAGCCATCTTCAGCTAATCAGGCAACTGGTTGCCTACCTCGCCCCCTGGGACTTAGCTACAGTGATCCATGCAATGGTGACTTCCAGGCTGGACTACTGTAACTCACTCTACATGGCCTGAAGTCTGATCTGGAAATCGCAACTAGTGCAGAATGTGACAGCAGGCATGCTGCCGGTGTTCATAATTTAACCAGTCTCAAGTCAAAATCCCTCCAACACCAAAACACCTCCTTAAGTTCAATGTACTGAAATGGAGAAGAAGTTGAGTTTATAGAACATTAAAAGTAGAGTGGATAAAAACTCTTCTTGGAAATTCTTACCTGCCAGTGTACTAGTATGTCGAAATGCCCTGACTTGTGAGTCTGATAGTCCTGTAAGTAGCGAAATGACTGTGTCCATCATATATTCATCATATATGATACTATACTGACACTGCCGGACCAACACACCAATGAACTCACAAAAACTTGATTTAAATTTCTTCCACTGAGGACCAGCCATGGTAAGTGGATAATCTCCACTATCCTACAACAGGAAACATCTATATGTGAGCAACAATTAAGTTAATTCCATATTTTAAATATAGAACAACTAAAATCAGATGATCTGAGGAATCATAAGAGCAAGAAGGTTAATGAACATTTCAGCTATCTTCCACACCTGTATGACTTTTATCAGAAAGAAGGAACACTGACAGCTTTAGCACTATCAAATAAACAAAAGCTTTGAGGTTTAATTTGCCCTTCAAAATACAACCAACAGTTCTGCTCTCCCCACATGATTAAAAACTGTCACCAAACCAAACTATACAAAGCAACAGGTGCATATGCACTCATAAGAATTACAATAATTACTCTGAAATTGTCTTGGGGAAAACGTTATTTAAGGAAAACCACACCGCCTTGGTGATAATTGACAGGTAGTTTATACAAGAAAACATGCCATTCCCAGAAGAACCCAACTTTTGTGTAATAGTATAAGTAATCAATGGGACATCCAGGTTTCCTGTATAACTACATGAATTTGCCCTCTTTAACGACATTACCCATTTACAGTACAGCATTCAGTAAGCATCTCTTCCCCAGCAAAAATAGGGAACCTATTCAGAGCAGATTATGGCCCACACAGAAACTGCTGTACTAAGATACAGTGCCAGATTCTTTAAGATAAGCAGTTGGAAATCATCAAGAAAAAAAAAAGTGCGACATTTTCAGGCACAAGCAGCAAAATTATATAAACATACATGAGTGACCAGAGCATGAAACAGCACAAATGTTCCACGTCCTAACTGTACAGCATGCGATTTCTAAAACTTGAGCATTAAACTAGAGTGAATAATACCACATAGTTAAGGTAGCCCTTTAATAGCATGTTGCAATTTATCCCAACAAAATATTTCTCTGACTTCTCAAGTTAATTGTTTTCTCAGTTTGTTTCCATTATCCCAGTAGAAGACTTAAGAATTACTTTCTATTCTGGAGTGAAAAACTTAAGGATCTGCCTTCCAAAAAGTTCTGTTGGTCACTTCTATCCATGTCTGATCCACCATTTCCTTGGAATCACAGCTATCCACACAAGAGTTTTCATGGTACCAATGATCAAAATATTGTAATTACAGTGCTTTTACTTATCAACTTCCCCTACGATCAATTATAAATACATTTCCAGGAACATTTTTATATAGCAATATGGCTTATTTCACAAAATTCACACAATTTTCAAAGTGCATATGCATTACTTACCTCATCAAATTCTTCAGTCATTTTTCGAATTATTTCAGAATTTTGCATATGTCGAAACATCTCTGCTGTAACAACCCCTATAAAATATTGATTGTAAATTAATACCACAACCTTAACAGAAGTAAAAGCTCAAATCAGTAAACTGGGAACAATTTAAATAGGCACCCGTAATTTTGGCTCTGAAATATTTACAGTAATTGAGAGGTATAAAATCTCTCTCACGCACACATAAACCAGCATAAAATTAGAACAAGTTTAAAGACAGTAGCATTTTAAACAAATAATTTTATATATTGTTGTACACCAAAAAACCTTCAGAAAAGTTGCAGTGAAATAAACAGCAAAGCCCTGAAGCAATATGCCAGTTAATGGGAAGAATCAATACTCTGATTTCTCACAAGTACCACTGAAATATTTCTAAGGATACCTAAGCAATAATTGTCTAAGTAAATTATTTGAAAATATGCAGTATTCTCAAAGAATCAGAACTACGGGTAAGAAAATGGAAACACAACAAACAGTTTTACACTTTTTAAACTTCTCTTTCAAACATACTTGCATTTTTAATAAAGTGAACAGGTTAGCTAAGGAAACTTTTAGGTAACAGGTTCTAAAATATGACAGACCATTTGGTCGAATTCCCAAGGACCACCAAAATTACTTCATTTACCAAAGCTTTTCTTGATACCACAATCACCGCATTCAACATTTCCTGCCAGATGTTCTAAGGTCTCAAACCATTAAAAAGTCTGCTAGTCACAAATCCCATCCCAATATGGGCTTGTCCCCTTGATACTTCCCCTGTGCCTTGCAACTAACAGGAAGAGGGCCATCTAGCAAGGCCATGAGTTGCCAACCCCAAGCATATACATTAAGCAACAAAAACATCATTATATGAAGTCCTGGGCTCAAGCTACAACTTCTTTATCACAGGTAAAAGGCATATTATAGAAGAGAATGTGCCATCTGACATAAACATTAAATTTATCTAATCACACAACCCTGGCTCAATTCAGACATCAAGTCAAACCATGGTTTTGGCTCTAAATGATGAATAGTACAAACTATGTATGTTTCCAAATGTACAGCAGACAAACTCATGGTTATTTGCTTTGTCTTCTGACAGTTAACTTCATTCTGTGTACCCATGGAGTAGAAGCTTATAACAGATGGAAGTAGTGCTGCAATTATAGTTTCTGAATTTAGCAAGCTGTAGTTAGCACAAATCATAGTTCATAATTAAGCTTCCTTAAAAATAGTTTGGCATGACGTCTGAAATGAGTCACTCTGTAGCAGGCCACACACACACACAATTATTGCACTGGAGGAAAAATATCAATTAATTTTAAGTAGCTTTACAGAAGGGGGGGCGGGATAGCTAATTACAAAAGCACAAGATACTGAAGAAAGGAAGTTGCCCAGGAACAGAAGCCCTAATTTGGGTAGAATGAGGACAAAAACTCTTTGCGCTATGTACAAAAGGTATGCGAGCAGAGTTTAAAAGGTCATGTACATAAGGGCCATTTCTAAAATGAACATCTTACCTTTGCAGCCTGAACACTGAATAAAGAAATTGATGAGATCAAGAAGTGCTATATCCCTGTCATGCTTGTATGATTCTATCCAGTCATCCACTACAGACTAGGAGAAAAAGAAATTGAACCGATATTAAAGCAGAGAGCAAGGCATGATACGGCTTAATATCATTACCAAGTTTGCCAAACCACATGATTTTTAACCTAAAAACCAATTTTTCTGTTTCATATTATTTCTAGGAAATACGCAGTACAATCCTGCACAGTTACTCCAGCTTAAACTCACTGATTTTAATGGTCTTAGACCAGAATACATAGGATTGCACTGTTAACCCTCCATTAGTTTTTTCAAGCACAAAGAGTAACCAGTAAAATGTTTCAACAAAAAACAAATCCCATAACATCAAACGTTTATTAATCTAAAAGTTTATGAAAGTATACAAAATCAAATGCATGAAATAGCAACTAAAATCACTATATTTCAAATGGAATAAGGCTTTACAGTAATCAGGCCATATCTATGAAGCAAAGTAAAGTAAAATAGCCTCAATTGTCACAAGCTGCTGGGGGTTTAACTGATGGATTTCATTATTCTGTGTATGTCCCCTCCCAGAGAGATGAAGATTTCTGAATAAAAAATTATGGACATTTCTCACAGAAAAGCTTGTAAGACTGTTAGCAATAAGGAAGAGTTCAGTACATTTTTTTGATGTTACACTACCAAAATAATTCAGAACCAGCAGACAGCCTTTAAAAATTTTATTACATTCTACAACTATGCACAGAAGTGGACTGCCAATATGCTTCAGGGAGATGGCTGTCCACATGTGCAGGCTGGAACATGTAAGGAAGACCTTTAATACCTTTAAAACTATTCTATCTGTACTAATATCCGGAATTCAGAATAGGGGTACAATTGGCTCCTGGAGCTTTCTGTGAAGAAGGGGCAACAGAATCTGTTATTTTATTTTCTTTCTTTATAGCTTCACCTCAAGTTCACAGTAACATGAAGCATATATACTTTTTAAAATTAGTATCAAGGATGCACATAGATAGTTTTGAAAGTTTCAATCATATAGATGGCTTTCTATAACCATTGCATTGTAAGTCTGCACATCCATTTTAAGACTTATAGTAGGCTCACCTGCATAGCACTCTTGCCCATTTTAACGACTTCAAACAGCATCATGTTTTCCACACCATTCTGCTGGTGATGCCCATTCATTCGATTTGGACCACCAGGCTTCCCTCCTCCGTTTCCAACTTTCCCCTTTTCTCCTGTGCCTTTTTTCCCCTTTTTGCAAGTCTATATAAAGATAAACAGCAAATATATTTGATATTCAAAGGTACTAGGCTACATTCCATGATATGTTATAATGGATATGTGCACATGTATTTTATAAAACTGTTTAGAGTTCTAACATTAGTATTAACTTTCCAATAGTTTGTATTTCACATTACAGTAAACTGCCTCACGCAGGACTCTGAAGAGGACAGCATAGAAATATTCAAAATAAATGAGCTTTAGGAGTACAGTAGGGCTAGAGATGTGAAGGTCCGAGAAAAAAACCCTGGAAAAATGGGGGTGGGGCTTTTTCTAATTTATTTCTGAGACCTTTTTTCAATATTTTCAAAGGAAAAATCGGAAATTCAGGGGAGTACGGGGGAAAAATCTCCTATGAAATATTCTTTTTTAGAATGAGCGAATGCTTTCAAAGACAAGGTGGGCATGTCATGGACATATACAGCTCTTAAATCCAAGATGCATTTCTGCACCTAGAAGGATACCTAATCTTCAAGAGGAGAGGATGCAGGGCTTTTCAACTGTTGCATATTTGCTGTTGTCCTTTTGACCTGACTTGTGGTTGACCTTTTCACTTCACCCTGTGATACATACACCCACAATTGGGTAAAAAGTGACCTTTAAGGCCTTGAGAGGTCTGGGACCAATGTATCTACCGGATTGTCTCCTCCAGTATGTCCCCGGGATAACAACCTGCTGGTGATCCCCAGCCCTAGGGATGTCCAGCTGTCCTCGACCAGGGCCAGGGACTTTTCAGTCCTGGTCCCGACCTGGTGGAACTCTCTGCCAAATGACATCAGGGCTCTGTGGGACCTTATGCAATTCCACAAGGCCTGTAAGGCAGAAATGTACCGTCAGGCTTTTGGTTGAGGGCAGCAACAATTTTTCCTTGGCTGGCACCGTCCCCCCCACTTCTGAATTGCTGGTATGAGTTCTCTCTCCCTCTACCCAGAAATTAGCCTGGTAGTCCAGAGTTGGGATAGAAATTTCCAGGACACCATCATGACAGACTCTATTTAGGTTTTTAGTTTTTTAAACTGGTCTGTAGAATTTTAATATTTGTATGTTTTTATGGCATTTTGCCCCATGTACATCACCCAGAGCCCGGCGAAAGATGAGATAGGGTGATTAATAAATTTAAATAACAACAACAACAACTTGCTACAGGGAGAAAAAAGATCAGGAGGAGTTAAGGGAGAAACTCCACCAAAGACTGAGAGGACAACTCTGGAAGTTTCATTGAGAACTGAGCTCTCTCTAATTAGACCGCACAGAGTGCGTCAGCTTGCAGTTTTTTCTCAAGCACTGGGCATATTTGCAATTTTGCTTGTACAAAATTAAGGATATATTATTTTTAAATTCCATAAATGACAAATATTGAGATTTCATATGTTAACTAAGTTATAAATGATGCATTTTATTTGGTCAAATCAGTAAAATTAGTCTAGGTTTGATAGGAGAGTAAGTATTGCATATATTTCAATTTTTTTGCTCAAAATTTCAGCGTTTTTCCCATGGCTTCAAGAGTTCTGAAAATCTCACATCTAAGGATGGTGACTTAGTTTACTGACACAAAACTTGACAATGCAGGCTGAGATTCTAGGAACTACTACTGTTCCAGCAGCAGACTCACAAAGCTTTCTTCAGAATTCTCAGAACCCTCCAATGCAAAGTCATGAGGCATGATGGGCTACAACTGAATCAGCAACTCTTCACACTATTCACCAGCATTAAACTTATCTACCCTCTCTAGATTCCATCCATACAGTAATATGAGAGCACTGTATTCACAGAATAAAGTGTGGTTCCTCAAATACTGGTGACACAAAGAATATATTAAAATGTGAGGGAGCTAACATCATGGTTATTCTGCTTAAAGTTCTGTTTTCAGATTCACATACCTTTCCTTTAACTTGCTTTTGATTTTTTCCTTCAATATCTTCAAAGTCAGTATCAGAAGAAAAGTGGGTTTCAGACTCCCTGAAAAGACACATTCTTCATTAGAGTTTCTTTACCTCAAGACTATTTTATTTTATCAACTACTGCTGCTATGCAAACACTGAACTCTAAACAACTTGAACTCCCTGGAACACAGCCTCCAATATGAACAAGTACAGGACTAATCCCAGTATTATTGTGCATTTAAGGTGGGTTTGTGCATTTATTTAAAATGAGCACCTCAGGATCCAAGGCAGGTTAACAGTGTAAGAAAAATTAAACCTTAAAACAGAGAATATATCAAAACCACTCTAAAATATCACCTTATGCCCCACTAGGACAAAATCCCAGTTTTGCTTAAAATGGATAACTTCAAGACTTTTATTTCTTTCCAAAGTATGGCAAAAGCATGATTTCTCACTTCAACTGATTTACCAAAGTTCAGTGTACGACAAGTACATAAAGGAGGAATGTTTGGATTCTATGTTTCTACCATGTTTCTCTGCATATATTTTAATAATCTGCCATAATGAATACAAAAATCAAAGTAAGTAATTAGTAAGTGCAGAGAAACATGATGGCAGCAAAAAGGTTAATAGGGGCAGTGGGAGAGAAAAGGTCAAAAAACCTCAGTCATAATGTGAATGCAGAACCTATGTAACCCAAATGAAGAGGAATAATGTGAATGCAGAACCTATGTAACCCAGGGAACCTGCAGGCCAAATGAAGAGGTCTAGACATAGAAGGCTCACCTGTATCAAATTTGATACATTTAGTTATTTCACAGACAAGGTATTTTATTTTGCATTAAACCCATGTATTTCTTTCACACATACAGACACTTTTTATTTGTGTTGAATGATCACTATCCACATGGTGCATTTTCTGCCAAGCTTTGAGAACATTTTCATTCTTCCTGGTTTCAGGGGTTAGGTTTTACGGAAGTATGGCTGACTTTCTTCCTTTGTATAATTGCTTGATCTTCTGCTTGGTGGTGGTGGCTTTTATTGTTGCTAAATTAATTTTATACTATTTATCTTCCTGTCAAATTGGTATGTCTTAAGTTTTAACCACTGGTGTTTTAAAAGTTATAATATTGTAACTGCTGCTAGCTTTATTTTTACCTTTGTATTTTTAATGTGTCTGTGAATGTGTGTGCACCTGGAAGTCATAGCGACCTCTGGTGACTGACCCCTACTGGGGGCCTGGAGAATATTCAGAGAGGTGGCTGAATAAAGCCTGCCCCTGCCTCCGGTATTTTAAGGAGGTCTCCCATCCAAGTACTTGCCAGAGTCAACCGTGCTTAGCTTCCAAGATCTGACAAAATTGGGCTTGCCTGGGCTATCCAGGTCAGGGCTAGCTTTACTATTTTTATCCTTGTCCACTACTTCCAAAACCTTATAAATGTGAGGCATTATGTAAATATGGCTTGGATCCTATGCAGCATAAGAATAGCTACACTGCATAAACTGTAACTTGCCTAATTTCCCCATCTCACAGGTAAGAATCAATAGGTTTTTTAAAAAAAAACAAAGAAACTGGAATTAGATTCCCTGATTTTCTACTAAAAGAAGAAGAAGAGATTGGATTTATACCCCGCCCTTCACTACCCAAAGGTGTCTCAGAGCGGCTTACAAACTCCTTTCCCTTCCCCTACCCACAACAGACACCCTGTGAGGTAGGTGGGGCTGAGAGAGCTCTTGACAGAAACTGCTCTTTTCAAGTGCCAGAGCTATGGCTTGCTCAAGGTCATCCAGCCAGGTGCAAGTGGAGGAGTGGGGAATCAAACCCGGTTCACCCAGATTAGAGTCCGCGCACTTAACCACTACACCAAACTGAAAAGGCTTTTCAGAAACCAGCCAGAGTGTCAGTGATGCTCAATCTCATCATAAACATATTTACTTGGAAATAAATCCTACTGGTTCTAATGAGGCTTACTCCTTGGCAAGTGAGCACACGACTGCAGTCTTGAATATATGAAACTGCCTTATACAGAGTCAGACCACTAGTCCATCAAGCCAATTGCTGCCTATCAACTGGCAGTGCATTTTATTGTCTCAACCACAGATCATTCCAGCCATGTTACCAATTATCCTTTAACCCAGAGAGGCCGTTTTCTAACAATGGAGAACTGTATGCAAAGCATATGCTCTTCTTGACTATGCTATGGTCCCTCTCTTTATCTGGAAAACCTGTAAATATACACCAGTCTCCATTCTGTGTAAATTAATACCATACATCTGACAAAGTGGACTCCACTCTATAAACTTTTCCTTGTAGTTTGTCTTTAAGGTACGACAGAAGTTAAATGGGTTGGGATCTTGCAGGTCATGTTATCCTCTGCACTGGTCAGGAGGCTGTAGGAGAGGGGAAAGGGGACAAAGATCACTCCTTCTGCCTCTTCCATCAGTGCAACTCTGCTGACTAAAGGAGGATGAGAACAACTGTGAGTCCACTCCACTCCCCAGTCCCCGCTGCAGCCTCCTGACCAACATGGTCATTAGTCCAGACTGGTCATGCAGCCCTGAGAATAAACTTTCCTTGCTTCAGAAAGAACTGTGGAAAGGATGTTGTGGGGAGGGGAAGGGAAAGGAGTTTGTAAGCCGCTCTGAGACTCCAAGTGAAGGGCGGGGTATAAATCCAATCTCTTTTCTTCTTCTTCTTCCATCAGTGCAACTCTGCAAACAAAAGGAGGATGAGAACAATTGTGAGTCCACTCCACTCCCCAGTCCCCACTGCACCCTCCTGACCAACATGGTCATTAGTCCAGACTGGTCATGCAGCCCTGGGAATAAACTTTCCTGGCTTCAGAAAGAACTGTGGAAAGGATAGTGGTATGTGTAGATATGCACACTTGGAACCTCTGCAAGGGTGGGAGCCAGTGTTCTCTGTAAGCTGAGTTAGAGTTAGTTTTTTAGCCTCCGGCTCACACATTTTTTCCTTAGCTCAGGAAGGATGGCTCCAGAACAAACTAATTTATGCAGTAGCTAAATCACTTGCTCACAACTTTAATGCCAGTAGCTCACAAAGTAGAACTGTTGCTCACAAGACTCCACAGCTTAGAGGAAGCATTGGTGGGAGCATGTTAGGATAGTCCACCACAGCAGACTGATGGATCCACAGAGTTTCCTGATGTCTCATGGGGACTTTCTAGCCAGCAAGGCTGGTGTTCCTGTGAGAACCCTGATCAAACTGGAATGTAGAGATAACCCAAGCAGTGTACTTGAGAGCTCCTGAATGCCCTCTTCCATCCAGTAGAGTCCAGAGTGTCTCTTGGTATACCCAAAGAACCTGGGATGACAAAATGGCTGGGGAGATGTTTAAAGCACAAGTAAAAGGAAAGCTCAAAAGTGAATATGACCAAACACAGGTGAGAGCACATTACTGTGCCTACTCTGTAGTGGTGATGTTGGAAAAGCAAGCTCACTTCACCCCCACTACAACCAGAACAATACCGCCTAGCAGTGCTTTACCATGGTGCGAGAGGCTCTTATGCCAGGCCCGAGGATGTTGATCTAGAAATGTGGAGGCTCACCATAACTCTTTTGCAACATATTTGCAAGTAAAACCCTGTTACTGTGACTTCGATTCCACAGTTAGTTCAGTTCAATTACAGAATGCTATCAGAATGCATTCTACTACTAATTTCATGGATAAATTCCAGTTTGTGAGGCCCAATGTAATGGACATGCTGCTTAAAAGTGAGCATCCCACCCACATATAACCTCAATTCTTGCCCTTTGGGGTTGATAGTATCAAGGCAAGTTGGGCTGTTTGAGTGGGTCTGGAACGTAATAAACACTTTTCTGCAGGATGGAGTTGCATTCACTTTGAAGGAGTCAGCTGTGAAACACCTCCTGAAGATGATATCCCCGGGTCCAAACAGTGTAAGTAATTGTGACAACTCCATTCCTGGGCAAGATACCTGAGTGGGTGGCAGCTACAGTTTCAAGCAGTCGTACAGGACAATCCAAAAGAGGTTTACTCCAGTATAAACCCATTGAAATGAATGGGCTTAGACTGGAGTAACTTCCCTAAGCATTGTGCTGCTAGAGACAGATTATCTGGACTCATTTAAATCCAGACTAAGGCCTGGCTTCAGAATAGAAACAAACCTGGTTGCCTTTTCTGTATATAATGGGAAAGTGACAGGGCAGTACATCTCTAATGACTACTGAACCTGTAGCGGCTTTAAATGACATCAGATATAACATCCTTCTAGTGGGGGGGGGGAACCATGCTTTGGTAGTTTTGCTTTTACCTGACCAGCCAATTCTAGAAGGTGATGGGGGGCTTTTGCTCAGTCCTACGGCACTTAAGGGATGGGGTCCCTCAGGGATCTATCTTGTCACCATTTAGCAGCTAACTCATGATATTTAACATTCAGAAAGACTGTCTGGAGATTTGCAGTGAGGTGCCACCAATATGCAGATGACACCCAGCACTATTTCTCCTTAACAGCTCAACTATGTGGGTCTCTCGAAGTCCTTAACAGGTGCCTAGACAAGATAATGGGATGGATGAGAGCCAATAAACTGAAGTTCAATCCAGAAAATACTAAGGTGCTGCTGGGCCAATGAGGACTGCAGAATCAGCCTTTCCTGGAAGGAACTCTACTCTCCATGAAAGAGCAACTTCCTGACCTACAGTTGAAGACTCACATTGCTGTCACGGCATTTGGCATCTTTTGGCAGCTTCAGCCTTCCTTGAAAGGCATGATTTTGCCAATGTACTTCATGCTCCGATCAAACTGAGGTTAGAATTACTGTAAAGCACTTGTGTTGGGCTGCCTTTGAAAGCTGTTCAGAATCTTGGACTGGTCTGCAACATGGCAGTCAGATTATTGTTGGGAACTGGAAATAGGGATCATATCACTCCTGTGCTGAAAGATCTTCACCAGCTGCCCACCTGTTTCTGGCCACTATTCAAAGTGTTAGTTCTTGCCTATAAAGGACATGAATGGCTTGGAGCCAGGGCACTTGAAGGACCACATTATCCAATATTGTTCAGCCTACCAGTCAAGATCCCCTTGCTCAAGCTCTACTTTCTGTGCCCCCACCTGCAGAGGTAAGGCCAGTTGCAACCAGAGAAAGGGCTAGACAGTGGTGAAACCTCACCTGTTGAATGCCCTCTTTCTTGAGGCTCGCCTGGAGTCTGTCTTAATTTAGGGCGCCAGAGCAAAGCATTTCTCTTCCTTTAGTGTTTATTTTTAGTTGTCTCTGGTCTGCTCCCAGACTGAGATCGGGTTTATTCTTAAACTGCTCCATCCTTGTTTTTTATTGGTTTATATATCTGTATTTATTCTACTGACCTAGTTTGTTTTACTGATCTTTTTACTACAAAAATTGTTTTACTGACTTGTATTGTCTTGATTAGTTTTATATTTTATTGCTTTAGTTGTGAGCCACCTCAAGTAGGTCTGGAGATAAAGTAAACTTCCAAAACACATATGCCTACACAAGCAGCTAATATTTAGTCATAACTAAACCATGAGCACTAAAGCCTCTCCCACAAAGTAAACCCCCCATAGAAGGAGCAGCAACTTCTACAGGCTTGATTAGTATATATAAGACAATGAAGAATCAAGCTTCTGTTCCTCACCTAGACAAAGGACACAGAGGTCATGCTCAGAAACAGGAAGCTTACTCCAGCAAGTGCTGCCTTATTTAAAAGTGAGCTGTTGCACCAAATGAAGCAGACCAATGAAGCAGAAAACCACAGCAGAAATAAATGATGTCCACCTAACTGAACACTGAACATAAAATAAAACACTAACTAAACACAAAAAGAAGGCACAGACAACTCCAGAGAGAACTGCAGTTGCTATCACAACAGAAGAGAACTGAGCAGGAAGGTGCTCATCCTTCCCTTCAGCACAAATGCAGAGAAATGTCTGTCCTCTAGGAAACAGATCTGTGTCCCAGTTCTATGCACAGATTCTACAACCTGTTCTGCAGAGGTATAGAACACATGCATGTAACTGCACAAAAACCATAAAGAGCAATTATGTACAGCAACTACAGTTCAGTCATGACTAGATTGTTTAAGCAAAGCTTTAAATCCACATCATAAAATTCCTTGTTGATAAGATTATGCTATGGCTTTTCAGTTTGTGGTTTAATTAGTCATGTATGTAATACTGTTTCTACCAGAACAGTCTGCAAAGAAGGTAATATTAAAACACCCTTATGGTTTATAATATAGCATTATAATTTTAGCTTACTTACTGAAGCAGAGCAAAATTAGTTGTTGCTTCTTGAGCTGCTATCATTTCTTTATCATCTTCTGGATCACTATTGTATTAGAAATGCATTCAAAAAGCAACTGTAGATGCTAAGTGTACTTGTTCGTTATTTTCTTCTCTTTATGTAGCAGATTATACCTGTGGGGGGGGGGAAGAGCAACATTACATTTAGAAGAAAACAAATTCTCTTATAACTCATTTTATACAATATTCTTACAAGTGTAGTTGAAGTTTTTTTGTTAACTTAAAAACTATCCCAAGTTTATGTTATAATTTCACAACTTTTTCATTTTCTCTAACAAGAGACGTTAATATCAACACAGGAAAGTGAGCTACCAATCCCAGTACCTCCTCTTGCATTCAAAGAAAAACAATCCTGTTAGATCAACCCAAGAGTCCATCTGACCCAGTAGTTTACAGTAGCCAACAAACTGCTCCTAAGTAAGCAGGACATGAATATCGATGTCCCCAAAACAAGAAGTTCACACTTACATTCTCTGAATACTAAGGATTCCTTTTAGTCATCATGGCTAGTAATTCTTTATAGATCTATCCTCCCTGAATTTTTCTAGCACCTTTTTGAAGGCAACCAAGCCAGCAGCTACCATCACATATTGTGGCAGAGATTGAGTTAATTAAAGAGATGTAAAAAAACCAGTTTTTTCCCAGTTTTTTTGGGGGGGAAACGGAGATTTTTGGAAAAATTGAAAAAAAATGCTACATTAGCATTTATTTTGTCTTTTCTAGATTGAAAGTCATTCTGTTACTTTAGGAACATAAAATATGACTATGGACATTTTTACTTGGCATGAAATTATCACAACTAGCATATTAAAAATATAGTGTATCCAATTATTACAAACAGAATATCCACCCACATGCAAAAACAAAACTGAAACCTTTTTATTTTCTTCTGACAATAGCACCTCCTAAAGGAAGATATGCATCTTGTTCTTTTCTTGCATTGGAGAGTTCAGTTTGTAACCCAGGACTTGCTTGTCCTCAGTGCACAGAAATTAGATCAATCTGATACCATATATATATGGGAAATTATTTGGAAAATCTTGTCTTAAAATATTTTATTCATCATGTTAAAATAAAACATTCCATAATCAATTTTCTTTTTTCAATTTTTCCAATTTTTCGGGAAAAAACAAAAAAGGCTTCAGGAAAAAAACCCGAATTTTACGTTTTTTTCCGAGCCTTCACATCTCTAGTTAATTATACATATTTTATCTGTCCAGAATCTACTGCCATCACTTACACTTGCCAGTTCCAACTTCTAGTATAGGTGTAAAAGACACTTCTCTCTCCATCCACTTTCTTTCCCACTAGTCATAATTTTATAACCATCATGTGACTGAGGTCTCTTAACCCCCCTTGATAAATAGATCCTTTTCAGTGCTTTTCTTAGTTCTCAGATATCCTGTTTTGAAATGGAATGACAGTATTCAAATGTGCATGATAGATTAACAGAAGGGCATGATGATACTGGCTGTTCGAGTCTCAGGCTTTGCCCCCCTAAATAATCCCTAGCATGGAATTTTTACTATTTCACCGCTGCTAAAGGTAACATATCTGGTCTAAAGCAATGGCATTTAGCAAGTCTCTTTATCATTACTTTAACGTATATGTTACTCAGTCAATATGAGGACAGTTTAAGTCACCGCTGCTGTGGGGAAGAAACTCTCATCCTGAGGGAAGGGTGAGTAGTCTAAGGCCACTTGAGATAGTGAGCTAGGGACAGTATATATTTAAACACGCTAGGGCATTTGATTTCTTTTCTTTTCACCCATTTACTGTTATTATTCCTGCATCTTGTTTGTTTGACCTCCTATAAAATAAACCTTTCCCTTGTTGTACTCTGCCTGGTCCGCACACCTATTATTCAGCCAAAAGGGAGGTATGAAGGTCTTGGGAGGGTGCTCTGGGCCTTCTCAAGGGATCCTAATTCCAGAGTGGTGCCAACATTAGGTGACACCCCACCTGAGCCGTGACACCTCCTCAGGGCGGTATGCCTGGCCCCCTCACTTTTGATCTTTAGAAGGCAGTTGACGACTGCTTTATTTAGGACTGCCTTTGGTTTCATTTACTTAAAAGTCCTGAGCTGTGATTTTTAAATCATGGGTTTTAAATTTTTTACACATTTTATGTGTTTATTTATGCTGTAAACCAGCTTGAGCTCCCTAAAGAAGAAAGGTGGCTAATAATTTTTAAAAAATAAATATTAAGGGGAAAATGTGTTCTACTGCCCCCTCATGGATCACTGCCTTGTCGTGGCGAGGGGGCTCCATCTTCTGCTTCTGTGCAATTGTCATATATATTCTAACTGCCAAGTCAGTCAAATCTGAGGACACTTAAATTTGGTGATTGGATCTATGAATAGGCAGACAGATCTTTCAACAAACCTGAAAGATACCCCAGGTTTTCAGAAAAATATGAAATCTAAAAAAATGGAGAAGGTAATGGCAACCCACTCCAGTATGTTTGCCAAGAAAACCCTATGGACAGTATCAAAAGGCTAAAAGATATGACGCCGGAAGATGAGCCCCTCAGGTCGAAAGGTGTCCAATATGCTACTGAGGAAGAGCAGAGGGCAAGTACAAGTAACCCCAGAAAGAGTGAAGCGGCTGGGCCAAAGCCGAAAGGACGCTCAGTTGTGGATGTGTCTGATGGTGAAAGGAAAGTCCGATGCTGCAAAGAACAATACTGCATAGGAACCTGGAATGTAAGATCTATGAATCAAGGTAAGCTTGACGTGGTCAAAAATGAGATGGCAAGACTGAACATCGATATCTTAGGAATCAGTGAACTAAAGTGGACAGGAATGGGCGAATTTAACTCAGAAGACCATTATATCTACTACTGTGGCCAGGAATCTCGTAGAAAAAATGGTGTGGCCTTTATAGTCAACAAGAGAGTGCAAAAGTCAGTACTGGGATACAATCTCAAAAATGACAGAATGATTTCGGTCCGATTCCAAGGCAAACCATTCAACATCACAGTAATCCAAGTCTATGCCCCAACCACTGATGCAGAAGAGGCTGAAGTGGACCGGTTCTATGAAGACCTACAACACCTCCTAGAACTAACACCAAAAAATGATGTCCTCATCATCATAGGGGACTGGAATGCTAAAGTAGGAAGTCAAAAGGTAACCGGAATAACAGACAAGTTTGGCCTTGGAAAGCAAAATGAAGCAGGGCAAAGGTTAACAGAGTTTTGTCAAGAGAACACACTGGTCATAGCGAACACCCTTTTCCAACAACCTAAGAGGCGACTCTACACATGGACATCACCAGATGGGCAACACCGAAATCAGATTGACTATATAATTTGCAGTCAAAGATGGAGAAGCTCTATCCAGTCAGTAAAAACAAGACCTGGAGCTGACTGTGGTTCAGATCATGAGCTACTCATTGCAAAATTCAGACTTAAACTGAAGAAAATTGGGAAAACCACGAGGCCATTCAGGTTTGACCTAGATCGCATCCCTGATGAATATACAGTAGAGGTGAAGAATAGATTCAAGGGTCTGGATTTGATAGATAGAGTGCCTGAAGAACTATGGACAGAGGTTCGTGACATCGTACAGGAGGCAGCAATCACCACCATCCCAAAGAAAAAGAAATGTAAGAAAGCAAAGTGGCTTTCTGATGAGGCTTTACAAATAGCAGAGGAAAGAAGGAAAGCGAAAGGCAAAGGCGAAAAGGAAAGATTTACCCAACTGAACGCAGATTTCCAGAGAACAGCAAGGAGAGATAAGGAGGCCTTCCTGAATGAACAGTGCAAAGTAATAGAAGAAAACAATAGAATGGGAAGGACTAGAGATCTCTTCAAGAAAGTTGGAGAAATCAAGGGAGCGTTCCATGCAAAGCTGGCCATGATAAAGGACAAAAACGGTAGGGACCTAACAGAAGCAGAAGAGATTAGGAAAAGATGGCAAGAATACACAGAAGAACTATACAAGAAAGACCTCGATGTCCTTGACAACCACGACGGTATAATCACTGACCTCGAGCCAGACATCCTGGAATGTGAAGTTAAATGGGCCTTAGAAAGCATTGCTAACAACAAAGCTAGTGGAGGTGATGGTATTCCAGCTGAGCTATTCAAAGTCTTAGAAGATGATGCTGTTAAAGTGCTGCACTCCATTTGCCAGCAAATTTGGAAAACGCAACAGTGGCCACAGGATTGGAAAAGGTCAGTATACATTCCAATCCCAAAGAAGGGCAATGCCAAGGAATGTTCAAACTATCGCACAATTGCACTCATATCACACGCTAGCAAGGTCATGCTCAAGATCCTACAAGCTAGGCTTCAACAGTACGTGGATAGAGAACTACCAGAAGTACAAGCTGGGTTTCGAAGAGGTAGAGGAACTAGAGATCAAATTGCCAACATTCGCTGGATTATGGAGAAAGCAAGAGAGTACCAGAAAAATATCTACTTCTGCTTCATTGACTATGCTAAAGCTTTTGACTGTGTGGATCACAACAAACTATGGCAGGTCCTTAAAGAGATGGGAGTACCAGACCACCTCACATGTCTCTTGAGAAACCTGTATAAGGGCCAAGAAGCGACAGTTAGAACCGGATATGGAACAACTGATTGGTTCAGCATAGGAAAAGGAGTACGACAAGGATGTATACTGTCACCTTGCTTATTTAATATATATGCAGAGTACATCATGCGAAATGCTGGCCTGGATGAATCACAAGCGGGAATTAAGATTGCTGGGGAAAAGATCAACAACCTCAGATATGCAGATGATACCACTCTAATGGCTGAAAGTGAAAAGGATCTAAAGAGCCTCTTGCTCAGAGTAAAAGAGGAGAGCGCAAAAGTGGGCTTGAAGCTCAACATCAAAAAAACTAAGATCATGGCATCCGGCCCCATCACTCCTTGGCAAATAGAAGGGGAAGTCGTGGAAGTAGTGACAGACTTCACGTTCCTGGGATCCCAGATCACCGCAGACTGTGACTGCAGCCATGAAATTAAAAGACGCCTGCTCCTTGGGAGGAAAGCGATGATGAACCTAAACAGCATGATAAAAAGTAGAGACATCACCCTGCCAACAAAAGTCCGCATGGTCAAAGAAATGGTATTCCCAGTAGTCATGTATGGCTGCGAGAGTT